GTATCTTCCTGCTTGTTCCTGACCTCATTGGATCCTTAAATGTATCTGCCTTACTGGATCAGATATAAAAGTTTTCCAAACGGAGATAACAATAGCAATTAGGGTCCAACGCTGACTTGATTTGGCCCTGAGCAATGTAATTGGATCTGAATCAAATCACACCATCACTTAGCAACGGTTGTCAAGCAAATACTATTTATCCAGTGCGCAGTAACAGGTAATATGCTCTTATTGGCTACATCAGTTATTATGTGCCAAAGAAGTGTACAATTGAATACAATAAAATCTAATCAAGACTATGCGGCCCTGAATTGGGATTAATGCATTGAATCTCAGGTTATGCTTAACATGACTCTAATTGTTCTATGTTTATTGCTATACTCCTTAAGTATCCGCAACAATAAGTCACCCTTCTGGGAAGGAATTATTGTTGCTCATATAATAAGTCAGACTATCCATCAATCTTTTTTAAATTTTTCTACAAGCTTTACTTTGCTTTGCTGTAATATAGATTATACTTTGTATTTTAGTAATATTTTTTACCTTTACTTTTTATCTACTTTTATCATTCAATCGCTTATTTAATCTACTAAAGTTTTGATGGCTGCTCTTATACAACTAATTTATATATACTATATTTGCTCTTTATACTTACAGGTCTATGCCTTACCCTTTAATTTAATCAATACCATAGCACTAACCAAGCAGATACACTATAAAAAATTACACGTTTACTAGCTCTTATACTAATGTTTTTTTTTTTCCTTCACTTAGAACTCTTACTAAAAAGATATTTTTAGGTTTGCTATATTTCTACAAGCTATAGAAAGCAAAAATACGAATAGTAAAACTTCTATTTGAAAAAGGTTTTACTCCTCTTTTCGTTTCTTTACTCTTGTTCTATTTTTTTTAAAAAAAGTCCTTGCTTTTCGTGAAAAACGTGCGAAAAAAAAGCAGGCGACGCTCCATTATCTCATGATAAACCTTCTATTTATTTAGCCTCTATTGTGTCAACTTTGCTTTCTTTTATTTACCTTTATAGTCATTTTCTTTTAGATATAGGATCATCTAAAAAATTGCATCTTGTCTTTTCTACTTATGATTTTTACCTTTATAATAAAAGTTACTTAGCCTATATTTGAGTACCTGGTTGGTAATTTATTAATCAAGCCACACTATTCTACTTTATTGAGAAAAACTCACTAAAGGCTATATAAAAATAACAAAAATCCTCGATATACTCATGCTTTAACCATATATGTGGTATTCTTGATAAAATAGGACAAAAGATTGAATAGGAAAGAAAATGCGAAGCTGCTCAATAAGTAATTCTCCTCATGCGCGAGAGCACTTCCAAATTGTATGCTACAATCGCCTCCAGCAATTATCTTTTTGTTATGTAAACACGAATATATGAAGTGTTGAACATATTACACAAGTAAGTGACCTTGGTTGTTATCAGTCTTTTCTTTATTATTTCGAACTTGTACTACAATAAAAGACAATAAAATAATTGAAATAAAAAATATTTGATCTTCATCTTCTTGAGTGAGACCGGGAAACAAAGCAGAGGCAAGAAAGGGACGAGAAGGGTGGGAACAACCAAGATCACTTACTCGTGTAATGTGTTCAACACTTCATATATTCGTGTTTACATAACATTACACTTCGTAAGACGTGATCTTGGTTGTTGATCCAGAGTAGATACACTAAAATTTGTAGACGTAGCTGAGGACAGGCGATAATAGTGTTCAAAGATATCGCGGGAAGACCAGGAGCCATGGGCGATAATGTTGTCAACGGAGACGCCCGCTTGTGCCGCAAGAGTGGCAGCTAGTCCACGAGCCTTAGGTACAGGAGCTTGAGCGGGTCTACCAACCTTGATCATTATCTGCTTGATGTACTTAGAGATACGTTCGGCAGCGATGGGTGTGTTGTGGTTCTGTAGGGAGCGGAGGAGCCTATTCAATCTTATTGTTGGGAACAAAGGGTGAGCAGTGCGACAGTCTGACGAGGCGATTCGCTGTTTGTATTCCTCGAAAACAGCCACGGGACATAGGAGAGGATCCGTGTGTGGATGAATTGTGATGACTTTCGTCACACGCTGGCCTTGACGTTTCTCCTTCGGGGCTACGATATTTAGAGAGAGAACCTTATCGGAGGAAACCACAGTCGCGTCTAAATCCACGCGTTCCAAATCGGAAGGTCGTAGGAAACCAGCCATAGCGAGGAGCCAACATGTTTTCGCCGTCAACTGGGCCTTGTTGAGAGCTGAATTGGGGCCCCAAGATTTAAGGTATTGAATAGCAGGAGTAACATCGTAGGACCAATGTTTTGGCGAGAGAATGGTGTTCGAGCGTAGTGCTTTGATGAAGTCTTGATAAATCTTGGAATTACGGATATTGGACTGGGTGTCGGTGGGAAACATAGCAATAATGGCGGTGGTGTATGTTAGCAAAGTGGAAGACTTTAAGTGTTTCGTAGTACGCTGGTCTGCCAAGTAATTAATCAGTTGTGTGGGCGAGGGATCGAGATAATCATACTCCCGGGCATCACACCACAATCGATATGCTTGTTGTCGGAAGGCGTACTGGCGTTTGCTGCCGAGATGAGAAGAGTCTAGTAATGTACGGGCTGCTGCATTGATAATGAGGTTGCGGGCACGTTTCGGCCGAGGTTCCAAGCAAGCATCGTCCCTACCCCCGCAAAGCGGGCCAAGGCTGTCCATGAGACGGATGTCTTCTTCAGGAGGTTGTAAGCTGTCCTGCGAATCGAGCGAACTTTCTTGCCGGGTAGCGAGAGTGACATCTTGTTGCTGTCGATGGTGAAACCCAGATGAGTAATCTGTTGAGAAGGAGTTAGTGATGACTTCTTGAAGTTTATTAACCAGCCTATTTCGGTCATTTTTTGGCACACCTGTTCTGTGTGTCGAAGGGATTCTTGTTGCGACTTGGCCATGATGATCAGATCGTCCAGGTATGCTGACAACCTTATCCCCTTTCGTCGAGCCCAACATAGAAGTGGCTTCAAGGCCTTCGTGAATATCAGCGGCGAGAGCCTTAGCCCAAATGGCAGAACGCGGTACTGGTATGTTTGCTGTTTCCATCGGAAGCGTAGCAGGGGTCGAGAAGAGGGATGGATCAAAATGTGGTGGAAGGCGTCTTGTAGGCCGATAGACGTGAGGAAGTCGTGTGGCTGTAGGAGGCGAGTAATGATTGACATGGTTTCCACCTTGAAACGTTGTTATGGTAAGTAGCTGTTGAGGCGTCGAAAGTTGAGTACTGGCCGCAAGCCTCCATCCTTTTTGGGGATGACGAAGAGCTGAGAATGGAAGCCGGCTGATCCTAGCGGCGCAGGTTCTATTGTCTGCTTCTGTAGGAGCGTTTGGATCTCGTTGTCTATAACGTTGATTGCTGACTGAGGGTGATTGGGTTGATGTTGAAGAGTTGGTGAAACGAGTGGTGGATATGATGTTAAAGGAACGCGGTAACCGTGTTGGATAAGATTGATAAACCATGAGCTAAATGATTGTTGGAGAGAGGAAGACCAAATTGAGGAGTAGGAGGACAAGCGACCACCTACTAATCTCAATTTTGCTTCCTTGGTAATTGGCGCTGTTGAAAAACTGTCTTGGATTGGGGAATCTGGGACGATTGGAGAGCTGGGAGATTGGTAGTGTTACGTGAGATAACAGGTTGATTAGATGTTGTACTGATGGTGTCATGATTGTCGTTACGTTTAGGTCGGGGCCTATTGTTGTTGCGTCTACGCGTGGTGGCTTGCTGCACGCTTTGCTGGAGCTTGATGTGATCGACCATTTCTTTGGGATCAAGCAGGTAATTGTTGTCAGTGGAAGGAGCGTCAAGTTGGCTTGAGATGCCACGAAACATGTTATCTGTACGCTGAGTCGTAATATGGGAAGCAAGATCGGATAAAAGTTCGTGAATAGTGAGGACCATATCCAAAGACTGTTATTGAAGAGTGGGAAGGTCCCAATTGCCGTGCAAAAGCTGGTAGGTGTACCAATCCAAAGGGCGAGTGATACCGGACAGGCGATACTGGATGTTGTAGAGTTGCGTGTCGTGCTGTTTAGCAGTAGAAGACAAACGAACTTTATTAAGCTTCGGATGGTCATAATTACGAAGAGAGTTCTTAGGACACTCGAAGAGAAAGCGTCGACGGTCCGCTTCCGGAAGTGGGCGTTTGAAAAAGTCTTCCTGAATGTAGGGGCATTGTTCAAGCATAGGTTCTGAAGGGATGAAATCAGAACCAGGGGCACGAATAGTAACGTTAGGGCCTGCCTGGAACAGAGGATTAGAAGCCATGGTAGATTCCATAACGGAAAGACGTTGCATGAGCTGTATAGCCCATGCCGGAGGCTGCTCATTTGCTTGTTGGTTTGATGACTCATTTATTGACAGTAAGAACGACGGAAGTATACCCAGGCGCGTAGTTACAAGATCGAACGAAAAGAAGATGAAGATCAAATATTTTTTATTTCAATTATTTTATTGTCTTTTATTGTAGTACAAGTTCGAAATAATAAAGAAAAGACTGATAACAATCAAGATCACGTCTTACGAAGTGTAATGTTTAAAAGTCATTGCTCATCAATATAGGTAGCTGTAACATTAAAAAAACTGAAATAAAAATGTCCAGCTACCTTTATGCTTGTACCTTTCAATAAAAAGCCAATGTTCTATGCAAGGTACAAAATATAGCTTCGTGAGTTTTTGCTTCTTTATTAATAAAATTTCCTTTATTCTTAAGCTTACGTAGCTTTTTACTCTTGTATGCAATACAGTTAGTAATTAACAAAGATCTATAATATTTTTATTCAAATTTATAATAAAAGCAACTCCTCAAAAATAAAAATGTATTTGTTCAAACTACTAAAATCATTTTGATAATTAAAATTCACCAAATTTTCTTTTTGCATAAAGCTCGGACCAAAACTTTATTGCTCATATATAGCTTTTTTAATTTTTCCCCAAATAACCAAGATCATTTTTGTATATAGCATTCTAAGTAGTTACAGGATCTACGCATTCATGTTTTCTTTTAAAGACACTTTACTGCGATAACATTTATTTTTCAAAGCGTATCAATACTAATTGGCCTTGTATAAGCACACTTAAGTAGCTATTCAATTCTAATCTTAAGTATATGGGCATATCCTGGGATAATCAACTGAGGATTTAATCAAAGCAGAGGTAAAATTATTAAAGTACTTTAAAAGCAGTAGTATTTGTTTTGATTAATAAAGAAAAATTGCTCCGAATTTACAAAAAAAAAATCCAATTAATCCAGTAAAGCCTTGCAAAACTGTGTATATTATAAAAGCAAGTTATTCCTATGATCCCATGATATTTTTCTGCTTTATATTTGGCTTATATTGACTTTACATAAATATACCACATTAAATATACTGTTTATGATATTTATATGCTCATATTGTAAATAAAAGACAGAGATAATGACCAATAAAAGAGATATATTAAAAGAATGACTAGGTACTTGTATCAGTCAAAGAAACGATAATATTGCTCGTTATAGGCTTTATCTCTTTGAATTTAAGTACATTATAGTGCTTATCCTTACCTTTTTACTCAGATGAATGAATAAACCGCATTGTTTTAATAGCTGCAAAAGAAGACTCTATTACTGTTTTTGTAGCTCTATATTAAGACATTCTTCAACGTTGTCTGATCTCTAGGAAAGAAAAACTTGATCTCTGGTAAGCTTTCTGTATACGGGCTGTAAAAGAAATATATATGGTGAAGTAAATGCACTTTTGACCCCAAGCAGAAACAAAAAAAAAATCAATCGTATCATATCTGTGTATAGGAGCGTTATCCATTAGATGAAATTACCCATTTATTTTCTACATAACGCCCGTTGTGCTACACAAGGTTCTGTCTAATGGTTTGCCTTTTTTTTTTTTATCACGCAACTATCAACATTAATGATTGCATAAAAGTCAAGCTTTCTCTTTTTCTTTAATAGTACAAACACTTGGCCAGCGAGAATTGAATCAGTTATTCTCTTTTCGTACATTGTAACAATAATAGTCATAGATACATCTCTTTGTCAAGAGAGCAGCTTCTATATCGTCTGATGACGTAGGGAGCAACCAGACTTAGCGTTTTAGTCGCATATTTTTATACATGATGATTTATGGCATTCTATTATTTTTCGATATATGGCTCTAACTTATGGAGTATTCTCTTTTCTTTTCAAAATAAGTTTTTTTCTTGTTTACTATTACCAGCGATCTTAAATCTGTAATATCGCGTTTATTATGATAGACGCTTGCAAAGCAAAGAAAAAAGGACTTTAAACAAATTACTCCTTAAATATTTTAGATGAAAGTTGTAAAGCTTCGATAAGTCCTAGTGTACATACTTTTCTGTATGTGTCTGAAAAGTAAAAAAGATGCCTACCACCAACTGATCCCCTTTATATCATCTATGGTGGACACGTAGTCAATTTTAGCTTTGCAATTTATTTTCTTGAGTATATCGAAAGGAATATCCTATGAATCACCGTATCCCTTTCTCTCTCTCTTTCTTTGTCATATCTCTCATGGTGTATTACATTATTATTAATGTTTTTATTATCACAGTTTTAATACACTTCAGACTCTTATCAATCTAAAGGCTATGGTATCAAAAATAGGGTATATTTTTGAAAAAAAGGAGGCAGTTTGATAAACAAAGAGGGGCATTTCACCTTCCTCCTGGAAGCAATTAATTACACAAATAGCTCAATTTGTTATGTAGAGTTTCCAAGAATTAATGTCACTGTGCCAAGAGTAAAATTTGCGTTTGTTAAATTCTAATGACACGTTAACCATTAGTTGATTTCGCTTATTGACAAATTAAATGTCGTATATGTAGAAGCTTTGTCGTACAAAATATGAGTATATTAAGCATAAAAGCACTGTCAGTTCTTTTTATTAAAAACCGAGTATTACAAAATGAGCTTTCAAATTTTCTATGAAGACGAACTTAATAATGCAATTGATGAATACGGTAGACCTGAGCCTATGGACTACATCATTGATGAAGAGCGATATGCTTTAGAAACAGTTAGTTCACACACCCAATATTTGCATAATCAACCTCAGGAGAATAATTTTGAATTATTCCCTTCAAAAAATGAAGATGCAAAAGATGACGTAGATGTTTGCGTGAAGGAGGCATTGAGTAAGTGAGCGTACATACTCTATATGGAACAAGACAAAGTTAGATTCTTTAAACTGATGTTTGAGAAAGTTATGAGTGCCTTAGCTGCTGTAAAACAATTATGTATTCATGTTCGCACAACTCAAAGATGGGCTCAAATGTGCAAAGCGGATCCGGATAGTGTTTTTATAAAACATAAGAAAGCCGATCGCTCACATATGCTTCATGGAGAGCACGAGTAGGTGATCTTGGAGTACATAGATTAGAATCTTTCAGTCGTCTTGGAGCAAGTAATGCAGCAGCTGCTACAAAAGTTTCAGGATCTCAAAATCTCTAAAAGTACTGTCTATAATTTTGTAAGAACTGAATGTAACTTGTCACTCAAAAAGGCTCAATTGCAGCCTGTATATAGGGACAGTGAAGATAAAATTCGACTGAGTTAGTAAGTAAGAGTGTACGGACATGGGCTTTAGAATTAACTGCATCTTTCTCGATGAGTCTGCATTTCATATTAATTCGAAACGTAGTATGGCCGGGTCAAAAAAAGACTGCCTGCTGTGGTCACAGTGTCCAAAGCCCGAGTATAAACAATAACGATTTTAGGTGCGATCTCTGCTTTAGGATTAATAAAGTGTAGCCTAAGATTATAATAATAGAGAGCATCTTTAAATCTGTCTTAAAATATACATATTTATATTTTAAAGTTACATGACTCATCTTAATCTTATTCATAGAACACGTTTACTTTATTTTCAGAGCATTTTTATTTCTTTATACAATAACATTTAGTCATTTAACATAATAGTTGACAATTCAGGCAATATGCTGTTATTACTATAATGTTGTGTACTAAAAGCAAAGGTATTCTTTGTTTTCATCTTTATTTCTTTTTTTGTATTCAATGAAATAACAACCTTTTAACTACAGAGGACTAAAAGCCATTCAAGCTATCCGTCTGGTAATAGTGACCACACTAGTGCATGCCTTAATAATGAGTCATTTCTCTCTCTATTTAGTAATTCAAGAAGTATTTATATGCTTTAAAATCAAGAAGTTTAACCGGCATTCTCTGTAAAATTTAACTTTAGCCATGTTGAAAGGCTTCACATCAATTAAATTATTCAGAGAATAGCATGATATATATCACTCTCGTTCATTATTAGTTCTAAATTTATGTTCATTCTTCTGAACATATAATGAATTTCATTATAAACAAGGTACTATTTTAGCTACGAAATTATTCATTTCACTATCATTTCATTCTTTTTCTTTCTTAAAAAAGCTTTTAATCATCTTTTTACTCAAGTAAGTAAAAGCGTAGTTAAACTGTTGAAAGCAACCTTTAGCTAACAATACATTTAATAGATATATCTCCATTGCTCTTATTTTTAAGATCAATCTATATTTTAAACCTCTACATCAGGCACTTGAAGTAAGTAAAAGCTTATCTAACCGATTAGATACATTTTTATCTAACAATGTATCTTGTAGGTTCACCTCTATCACTTTTCTAGTTCTTCAATCTTTTATAAATATACATATTCATTTAACTAAAAGTAAGTAAAAATCTTTTTAAGCTATTAGAGATAATCTTTAACCAACTATATATATATTCAATAGGTATCTCACCATGGATGAAGGCTCCGCTCCAAGCTCCTTCGATTCATCGGCTATGAGTACTTCTAGTTTCCTCGCACTCGGCGACCGTATTTTGGTTGTTAAATCCTCTGTTGATGGCATTGGTTGGAACAACCTTCATCGTGAAACACTCGAAAGCTTCGTCGAACGTGTATACACCACCACCATGCACGCCTATTTTTTCTCGAAATTCATCTTCCTTCGGGAGCTGCAAGACATGAATTTCAGAATACAAGGATATATCAACAAGGATTTTCTTTAAAGTATGGCTCTCATTGGTTAATTACTCAATCGGCACTTGACTGGTTACCTTAGAATCACCAACTACCAGAGATTCAACTTCATATATGTTCAGCAATCTGCTATAATCGAAGATACTAACATCTATACAGCTTACGCCAACAACGTTCACCTTAGATTTGGTCAGCACCTTCGACATGCCGTTAGTTCTTTACTTCGCATTCGGCAACGAATAGTAGATTTGAGACGAGATCTGTCTACACAAGATATGGAAGATGATGAAATCAAGCACCGCATCCGTCAAGGCATCATTTTACCAGCACAGACTTTCAAGTAGGCTATTTTGCAGCAGCCTATAGATATGGAACAACTACTTCAAGAACCTATTTATATGAATGCTCTTAGCACTCTTCAGCTTGTTTTTGATGCTTATGATGAAAGCTACAACTTTGACGAACGGAGACTTTATTATGATGCCAAGCGTAGCCCTGTCAACCACTTTAAGGCCATCTATCAATTTTCTCGTCTCTTTGAACATCTTGGTTTGCCCGTCTTCAATTGCTTTCCTCTCCGGCTCTCATGGTCTCCTTGTTACGTTACGATCGACAGCAAGATTCTCTACCAAAACATCCTGGGGATTCGATAGTCTAATGCTGTTGATAAATTGGACTACTGCAGCCGAGTTGTCAACCTTGATTCAAAGGCCATCAAACCTCAAGAAGGTGGACAGCTTAGATTCCGTGACACTATTCAGACTGATAGTGTTGGTGTCATGGTCTTCAAGAAGAGGTTTGACAGGCAAACAAGATACACGGCAAAGTTTACAGTGGAGTATGAAGCTACCTCCTACACTACCGATCTAACTCGTCAAAATCATCAAAGGATTTCTGGTCGATGTGTCGCTGTGAATTCTGGAAGAAGGGATATATTGTGTTGTGTATACGAAAACTCTACACCAGAGCAACTAGTGCAATTTCGGTACACTAAACAACAGCAAGACAAGACGTGGAAAATCAAAAAGTACCGTCGAATCTTGCAAGATCTCAAAGCCCAGGAGTCTGATGTCGCTCAATCTGAGCAAGCTCTTTCTTAACAGCCAAGCAGCACTGTATCCGTAGAACACTTTGACCACTTCCTTCAAACCAGGTCTGAACAGTCTACCGTTCTCAGTCGATTCTATGGACATATCATCACAAACCATGATAATGGATACCCTCTCTTTCGCAAGATCCGCCTTTCAGCGTACTTCAACAATCAACATGCCAATCAAAACCTTATTCAAGGCTTACGTGCCAAGTTTAGAGAAGACGCCGTGCTTGTGATGGGAAACTGGTCCGCTTCCCATGCTAGGTACCATGAGCCCATCCGTAACCTTGGTTTCCAAAGACTCCTCAAGAATCATGGGTTTCAAGTCTTTCTTATAGGCGAGTACAAGGTCAGTAGGTGCTGTCCAACATGCCACAACGAAAGCTTTCACATGTTTCGCCGAGTTCCAAACTCACGACCGTATCAATGAGAGCGATATTCCACGGTTGTTTACCATGGTCTTTTAAGGTAATAATACATTAACCACTTGGATGACTTTATTCTGATTGAACATTGCTTGTAGATGCATCAATCTATACTGTAGACCCGCCATGGCAGCGCTAAGTAGATATCGCTTATGGAACAGGGATGCTGCAGCTTGCCTCAATTATGCACATCCTCCGTGGGTTTCGAACTAATGGCATGGTTCCTCATAAGTTTCTCCGGGTTGCTGTTGCTCCTACAAGGCATCGAAGAAGAATGGACGATCAGGAGCAACCAAGAATTAGAACACGCTTAGATGATGATCTTCCGTTCTAGTTATCGCTAGGACACATCTAGATGCCTTCGGAGTAAGTTATATATAATAATCCTTTTACATAACTAACTGTATAATTCTTTATATTCTCTCCTTGGTGTTTATTACTCACTTGTATGTCGTCTCCTTTTGCCCGCATTTTATTTTTAGCCTTTGCCTAAATACTTTTTTTAATATGCGCCAATTAATTTTTTTTTCATACACATCGTAATTTTATCCTCTTTCTGAAATTTATTTTTAATAAAACAGTATAAGCACTTGTATGTTTCAACTCCTTATCTTTGTCTTTAATTTATGCGCAACAATAGTTTGTATATAAAGTTAATTTACTCTATACAACCGATCCCTTTTTTGTAGGAAAACCGCCGTATAGTAATGAGGTATCTGGTATGATTATAAATAGTTTAAAATGTATTCACTATTTAAGCAATTATTTCACTTTATTACTTCTTCTCCCTTATTAAAATTGTAGAATCTATAAAATACAGCACTTGCTCTTCTTTACTTTATCAGGCTTGTATCCTGGCTTAGCACGTAAGCCTTCCCTTTGAGCTCGAATGGCTTTGACTACTTGATAGAATGATCTTTCAACATTAACACAAGTTTTTGCTGAAGTTTCAATAAAGTCACATGCCAAGCGCTTAGCAGTCGCAAGTCCTTCTTCTCGAGTCACTTCTCTTTCTGTTACTTTATCACACTTATTTCCTACGAGCATCATAGGTACATTATCTACATCTTTCACTCTAAATATCTGATCTCTAAATCTTTCAATACGCTCAAATGTAGAGCGTGAGGTAATAGAGTAAACCAGCAAAAATCCTTCACCGTCTCTAAGTATGGTATTAGAAAAATTATTACAAATGTGATCCTATTTACCTAATCCACTGATCTCTCAAAGCGGTGTATTCTTCTTGGCCTGCTGTATCAAGCACTTCCAAGATGCATGGTTGGTCGTCAATAACCACCTGTTTACGGTATGAGTCTTCGATAGTAGGGTCATAGGTCTAAGAGTAAGAGGAGTATTAACTCTGCACACCATAAAATATCAAGAATATATGTAAGTGTATACCTCTATAGAGTAATAGAAATGGTTAGTAATAATATATGTATAAAGAATGTGTCAAACTAACCTACAAAATGGTTTAAACAGAGCTATTTTCGTAAAAAATATGTAAATGTATATATCAGTATGAAGGCTTTGTTGTTGTTTTTTTATATTAGTTTACTTGTATAGTAAGCGCAGTCTACGAGTTAAAGGTTAATAGCTAAAGCATTCATTTATTTCCCTTTCTTACTTTTCCAACACCACCGTCTCCAAGGACAACCAACTTATAGAGCATCATTTTATATAAAGCTAGATTTAGTTTCAGTAATGAGCTCAATCTTGCTTTCTCTTATTTTATGCTTACAGAGTTAAAATCCAAGTAATTAAGGAAAAGTATAAAAAAATATTAAAGGATATAAAAAAGGGAAGAAAAGAGGAGAGATAAAGAAAGAAGAAAAGAAGTAGTAGAAAGGAGATAAAGAAAAACAAGGCAAATCCGCAGAAAGGGATGTTCCTCGCGGAGTTTATTCCATTTTTACCAAAACAAGGAAAGCATAAATTTCTATACCAATTTTCCTGGAAACTGTGCCGGCTAATCTTTCTTATCTCACACACACGCTGCACCCTCTTTTTGAGAAAAGATGTACCCAAGTATGGGAATTGATAAGCCAGGGAGCATTTTTCTTTTCCCTCGTTTGTATCGGTGCTTTTGCTAACCGATGATCTCTTTCCTTCATCCGAAGCTGCGCCTTTATTGAATTATTTAGTGTACGTAGATGATGTCGTCGTAATTATTGCTTAGCAGCATGACATGAAATATTTGATAAAGATATATGGATTCACTATAGGATACTAATTACAGGTATATCCTGCAAAATGCATTGTCCTGGGAATAGATCTAAGTTCTAGCTTATCGCAGCTGGTATTTCAAACTAAATGGAACCTACATTGAAATGTACAATTTTGATAGGAGGAGGTAGCAATGCTGTGCGTCGCTCTGATGCTTGCTGAAAGATCGGCGATATCGATCAATGTTTTCCGCTTTGTTGCACATCTGAACTGTACTGATAGTTAGCACTTGGCTGTTGTATGTCTTTGAATGAAGTTTTTGAAGAAATGCACAGTGAAGAAATTTAGTAATCCTTTTACAACAGTAAAGGTTTTATCTGTCGAGAGTAAAAAGAAGTCATCTTGCCTCGGGGAAAAGTATGATTTGATACCATCTTATCGCCGGTTAAAATAAACTGGCAAAGCCGATGTTTAGTCAATAGACTTGAAGAAACAAAGAAGAATTATTAAACTAAGCTAAACATATGTAATGAAAGACGGTTGCTAAATGAAAGAAGGAAAAGCGGAATTGATCACATGTTAAAAGAGAGATCATGCCATGATATTAATGCGGAACATAAGCGGGGTGAGAATGTCTGTGTATATTTTATGACGAATAATCTGGGGAATAAGGGTTCCCCCTTCCTTTTTCATTGTACCTTATTGTATGCACTCCAGAATATTACTGCAACCATTTAGACAAAAGAGGGCTAGTTTGTATTTAATTGGTCAACGACTTTTGACTACTGCAGCTTCACAAAAAGTAACAACACGCTGTGAACAAGATGCACTACATGTCAAATGGGGAGAGACTGATTCCACCTACAGCTACCTTTGGTTGAGAGATAACTGTCCTTGTCCACAATGCCTTCACCCCTCAAGTAGTCAAAAACTGCATTCTTCTGCTGATATACCATTAGATATTCAACCTATAGATGTAAAAATTGTAGGAGAAGAGGCAGAAATAACATGGAATCAGCCTCTTCGCCACGGTGGTGAAGACAAGATACATACTAGTCGATACAGCCTTGATTTTTTGCGTCGATATCAATCAAGCAAGATAGCTGAAAGGTTTAGATTTAATCATATAACCCCACAAACTTGGAATCGAGATGAGTATAAACTCGATTGGATAAGTTACCATGACTACATGAATACGGATCATGGTCTCTCTAAGGCTGTTCAGCGCTTGTATAACAAGGGTCTGGTGTTCTTGAAAGATGTACCTACCGTTGACAGTGCAGTGACAGAAGTTGCTGAGCGTATTGGGCCTGTTCAAGAAACATTTTATGGTCGCGATTTTGATGTCAAGAACGTTGCTAAATCTATTAATATTGCCTATACAAGTTTGTATTTGGGATTTCATATGGATCTTATGTAAGCAGTAAAGAAATGTGTAAGCCCAGCTTAACCCATTTCTCTTTCTTTTTGCAGGTACCTGGATAGTCCCCCTGGAGTTCAATTGTTACACAGTTTAAAGAACAGTGTCACTGGAGGCTCAAGTATTTTTGTAGATTCGTTCCGTGCAGTCGAACTACTAAAAGCCAAGTATCCTGAGGATTACCAAGTACTCAAGTCAACGCCTGTTACATTTCATTATTTGAATAATGGTCATCACATGTATTATAAACGACCTACTATCGTTGACGATGAAGAGCATAGTGGTACAGCCTGGGCTAGTCACGTCAATTATGCACCTCAGTTTCAGGGACCATTAGACGACTTGAGCCCTGAAAAGACCAGACAATTTTATAGGGCATTCCAACGTTTTGCGGATTTTGTTGAAGATGAGTCTCTTCGATTCGAATTGACATTGCAACCAGGTCAACTAGTTATGTTTGCCAACAGACGTGTGCTCCATGGCCGTACATCATTTGATCCGAACAGCGGTGACCGTCACTTAAAAGGCACTTACCTTGCTCTAGATTCTCTCAAGGACAAATTACGTGTATTATCAGCAAAGTATGGCTTTGATTCCAGTGTTTAAATGTGCTCTTTATTTCTATAAACCTATCGCAGCTTTTCTTTTCAGATTTAACCTGTGTTAAATATTCTATCAACTCTTTCTGACAATTGGCCGTCTTATACTATAGACGTACTGACAATCGACTGTGCTGAATCCAGCAGCTTCAAGTCGCGAGCATCTTTTGCTTAAAAAATAGCACATCGTATCATCTTGACATACAATATTTCCATTTCATGTTATCAGCAATACACTTTTCATTCTGGTCAATCCAATTTTTTAAAATTGGTTGCACAAATGCCTTCAACCAATACAATCCTTCCTAAGTTAAGTGAGCCTTTTGAAAAACCAAGTGCGTCAGAATAAAAATCAAGGCAAGCGAAGTGAAGAACGATTGGGCAGAATTTTCCCCAAGAGTAGCCTCAAACACGACTCAGTCAGCCCAGATCTATATTTACTTCCATTTGTACTTATTCCTCTGTATCTCGCTGCATTTTGCCATGCGATCCGCCGCTCAGGCTGCTTGATGAATTTACGGGCTAAAATTCACTGAAGAAAACGCCCGTTTGGGTTCGCAAAAACTATGTGATGCCGAATTGATTCCGGTCCTGATTGTACGTGATGTTCCGACTTGTCCTGTAGCCGTTTCCCAAACAAAATATGATATGGAACCGTGGAGGTTCGTATTGTTGGCTGGCAACACCACCCAGCCGCAACCTGACGATGCCACTGATGTGTTTGATGAGATAATCATTATAATAACTCGAGTATGATTTTACAGTAGAGCATACATTCTACATTCCTCTATCGCATCTGAAAAGAATACGAATAAGAGTACTGACAATAAGAATAGCTACTAACATAATATTGATAAATAATCATATTGACCACATTTATCATACTGACAACATTAATACTCTCTATAAAACTCTCACTCAGACTTAATTTAATAATATTCAGCTCTTCATAAAAAATTTAATTCGCAAGTCATCGACTTAGTAGCCTTTTTACAATAACAAGGCTGATTACAACAGGAATCCTTCTCACTGAGCCTGTGGAAGGCATTACTGAGGAGCATTTCCTGGACGAAGAACAAGTATTGCAGATCATCGCCGCCTATTTACCAGATGATGTGGTTAATAAGGATCAATTGACCGAATGGATGGCCAAAGACGAGCCCTGGGGTGGTACTAAACGCAAAAATGCAAGAAAGGATCCGTGGCTGCGTATCCCATTTAGTACAAGAAGCGTACCGCGATTACAGATGGGACAATCTGCACAATGTGCATCAACTTCGACATGTAAGATTAACGAATGACACCATCTTCAACATGGGATACATCAGACGCAGCAACACCCAAGACACGTCTCACGCAAAAATGAAATCTATGGAATTGCAAGCAATTAAATTGACGCGAAAGCTACTGTGCGAAAAAGTCTATGGTTCATACAACACCTCAGCATCATCAGATCTGCAGTCGTGTGATCATACGGATAACCGTAAATAGCTTGCGTCTGTCCCAAGGTGCTCAGAAAACACACAAGACACGTTTGCAACAATCAACGATTCCTGTCGAAAGGTAAGACTAGTCACGATCGACTTCGCCGAATTTTGTACGAAAACCGCCACCTATGCCATCTTTTTCGCATGAACAAAACCATCGTCGAAATTGTTGCCGATCTTGGGCACAAGATGGATGTATTCATGCGACACCAAATCCTAAAAGACGATCAAATCTTCTCAAATTTCAACTGCCAAAAAGCTTACACGAATCATTCACAGTCTTGTCTACCTTTTTATTGCGATTTTTAATTTTCGAGAAGCATCTAATGAATTTTCGGGACGAACCTCTTGAATTGAGATGGTGATATAAAAACAAAATATAGGCCTTCAACGCGACTTTTACTCCACAACTATTCAAGAGACAAGACCAAACTATTTCTGAAGAGACAAAAATGCCAGCTTTTCATTGTTCGACTCGATGATCTTTGAATGAGCGCGATTAAAATAAGCACGAAAAAAGCTTTATTTAATTTCAAGTGGCCAAATGGCAATTTGAAATAGAAACACTATGCATATAAATTATCACTTTAATATTTATCTGAAGCTTTGCTAAATTCTACTTGTGCTTCATCACATCAATATTCTTGATATCTTTTCAGAACAAATAGCTGAAAAGTTAACTAACATTCATATTAAGTCATGTTACTATCTAACGCTGGACAATATTTGCAGTAATAAGACTCTTCTCTTGAGAGAAATGAAAGAAAATGTAGAATCTTTTTATATTTTACAGCATAGAAAAGACAAACAGAATTATTTACAGAGTGCATTTTATTTTCTAATACAATAATTATATACACACGCATGCACAGAGCTTAGAATCCTATTTGATCAAAGTTGTCATCAAATCCGCCATCAAATCCACCACCACCGTAATCATTATAGTCATTGCCATAGTAGTTATTTTCAATAATGTCTGGATGGCTAGCATCACCAATAGCATCACCAAGCATAAAGCCTAAAAGACCTCCACCAAGACCCGCAGCAGCCATTTTACCATATCCTCCTCCACCACTCATACCATAGCGAGGTTGTTGCTGCATCATGATAGGTTGCTGTTGTTGATACGGCGATGATTGGTATGGATACTGTTGAGATTGTTGATATGGTTGTTGGTGTTGTGGCTGCTGATAGTAAGAGTTACTCTCTCCTCTTGTATTCAATGGTTTATCGGCTGGATGCTCCCATTGGCGTAATGCGGTAGGCGTATAGACATAAAAGAATTTTTTCGAATTAGGATCATATTGTGATATCCATCCCTGAGGTAATGGTCTTTTATCAGGATTATCGTGTTGCTGAGGAGGTGATGGTGGTGCGTAGCTTGTGCTCATATTATTGCTTGCACTGTAAGGTGGTGGTGCACTATTACTGGTATTAGGTGATTTATTAAATTTTGAAAATAATCCCATTTTGTCTGAGAAAAAGAGTGAACAAAGTAAAGAAAAAAGAGAGAGTTCTTTATATATCTTCCTTTCAGTAAGGCTACTGCATTTAGAATAAATAAGCTCATAGCATTGGTCCAATTTCATCTGAGCCATCGAGCAGATGATTCATGCCAAGGATATTCTTACGTAAATGCACTGACACTTTTCTATTTATGGTTATGATCTATTCAAAAATCTAAAGGTGTCCTTTAACATTGAATTAATATATCCAGGAATGATAGTTAGAATAATCATATGAATATGCATCAGCATTAAGAGTCTTCTTTTTACTATGCTTATCTTTCTTCATGTATATAGTATTAAATCCCAGCTGTCATAAGAAATTAATAGTAATTCTATGGAAAAATCTATTTATTAGCAGGAATTGCTCGTAGTACTTGTTCATAAACCAAAAAGTTTAATGAGTGAATAGGAAATGCTCTAATCAAGGTCACATTCAGGCCACGGTATAATCCACGGAAGCCATTCTTCTTGACAAGATGTTTGGCACATTCTAATGCGTTGTTGTATCTTGGGTTATCTAGCATGATGTCCTTTTGTAGATTGGTCTTGATCACATCCACAGGGAACACAAATAACCAACTCAGCATACCACATAGTCCGCCTGATAGGAAATGCACCAATGGTCCTGACTGATTTCCATCTCCTGACAGCTGACGTTTCATTGTCTCATATCCACCAAAATAAATACCTGTACCTAATGCATCTCTCGCTAACATTTTATATTAGACCACGTATTCTATGTGTGCGCGCGAATACATACCTGAATGACATCCAACTCTGCTCCATAATCCAAAAATGCCTCTTCGATTGATTATTTGCTTTACCGATTTCCAGCTCGATGCTTCAACCACTTCATGTGATGACACTTGGCCCATTGCTATTTGTCTTTTGAGTAATACCAATTCTAGTTGTCGTTGAATTTTCACAAGTTCCAAGGGACAACTCAATAAGGCAATGAATGCGCCACTGACGCCACCACTCACAGCTGATACACCCATGGTTGATCTTAATGTGTCATTGTTGAATATTCCACGCTGAATAAGTGACTTTTTTGTGCTTTCGTAAATAGAAAATGATGCTGATTTAATGATGCTGACAGTGATCAAAGGTGGTATCATGCCTCGAAAGAATCCTCTTGCTCCTTCCTCTGCATAAGTCGTCCGTACACAGGCCATGATTGAGTTGTAATGATGTGTTTGCATACGAGTCTTTATAGAGTCAAACTATATTCCCTCCTCCTTGTTTATTACTTTCTCTTCTTTTTTGTATCTATAATTATAAACATTACCGGAAATCCTGCCAAAACAGAAATGACGGCCGCACTTGAAGCTGCAATCACTGTTCTATAAGCTTTATCTTGTGTTAGTTCATGTATAAATATATTATATATGTCTATCTTTTACTTTGTAGCGATCTTAGCTGTGTTGCTCTAGCCTCAAAATCCTTTTCCCTATTATTGACTATAAGTTTTGAATCAGTTCTTAATGATTGTAATAAACTTACTTCAATTCTCTAATGGACATTCTTTCTTTGTTGACTTGTCATTCGGTCAACGAGCAAAAAGGTACAGAAAAAAGAGGGGCAAGGGGGTGGGACAGTGTCGATAAGGGCGGAGAGTATATTCTTTTTTAATTTCTTTTTCAGGAAATGAAAGAGCCTCTACGAAAAATATTAAACGAAGCCTTTTTGATACCAGAACTCTATGACAGCTTATTTCGTACAAAGCTTATAAAAGAAACTAAAGAGGAGCCTATCGCAATTGAAGAGATACAAATATTCTTACTTGAATCTCGCTTAATTCCAATAGGATACGAAGTTCACTATTTATCCTTTGATAGACGATTCAAGCTTGATTTAAGAAAAAAAAAGTGTGCTTTGAAAGAAGAAATGATCATGCATGTGAACGTAGTGAAATCTTTTATGAACAAGACACAAATTACGTTCATTTCAAGTTACTTATTTTATATATTCTAACCAAAAACCTCCAGCCAAAACAAAGAAGTCTTTCCTGCTGTCTTTGATGATTTGTCCTTTGTGATCGTACCTAGAAATGAGGCAGGCAGTCCCAGACTGTTGGGCATATCTGAGGAAATAATACTTACAGACATTACATGCTTTCATTGTGACCAAAAAGGGCATGAGTGTTGAGACTGTTCTCATCCTTGAACAGAGGAGCCATCAGGACAAACGGGATCATTGAAGGGTATATCAAATGCTGTCAAAGGGAGGCTCTTTGAAGAACTACAGTTAATTAATGATGTCAGTAAGAAGTAATCAGGCATAATATCCAAAGAACTCAAAGAGGCGTTAGAAATGGAGGATGGTGATGAGCCTCTCTATAATAAGAGCATGCGAATATATGGCTATCCTCTTGCCCTACAGGGCAGAGATGCCCTTGAATTGAAATTACAAGAGATGCAGTCAGAGGTCAATATAGAAGTTGGTAACAACAAAAAGAGGTGAACAAGTTCTATGGTCAAATACTCTGTCGTTTAGCTATTGCATTATGTCATAAAATAAGCATATATTCCCATGGAGTTATTCAACTACAGCCTTACGTAAGCAATTTAGCTGCTTGGCATCACCTTGGCAGTCAATCCGAAGAAACCCCATTTTGTGTAGTGATGTTTTTATGTTTTAGTTATGAACTATCTCTTTCTATTGTCAATTATAAGTTGTCTATAATGAATGATTAATAGTATAGTAATAGCAACTTATTACAGTAGGGCAATTGTCAAAGAAATGGTCTATCATATAAAGGGAGTATTTAAAGCATTGACAAGGTGTAGCACAGGACTGTCCCTCTTGGCGAAAAGCAAAGGCCTGTAATTTCAAGTGTCACGTAGATGCACAAAAGGAAGAAATATCCTTTTGCAGACCGCATACCAGACACCTTAAATTTTGTCCGTCTTCTCGGCAAATGATAAACAGTATTTCTTTTCTACACAGATATTTCCATGGCAACTCGGGAATATTCGCCTATTCCTGACCAAGGAAATGGATCCATAGAGGGTCAACAACAAGAACAAGAACACCAAGTAAATCGTAGTCCCTTTGAAAGAATGAAGAAATGGTGGAATACCCACATTGGCAATTCGGCTTCAGAGACAGCACCTCTCATTAACAGACGCACCATGACACTCGAGCCACCAAAGCCAAGTCCTTTGAGAACTATCTTGACTGTCTTATTTATTATTGGCGCATTTGCAGTAGTTACTCTTTTGCTTATTTTAACCATAAACGGAGACGATGTGGAAGGTAAATATGACATATGTAATAGAAAAACGTTCTACGTGACTAAATCCATACAAAAAAAAGATACTTCTTCTAGAAGACTATCCGAAGCAGAAAAAATGATGCTCAATCTGCCTTCTCCTAAAAGACTTCGTAGCTACCTAAAGACCTATACTTCAGAACCTCATGTCGCCGGAACATTATCCGATAAGCGCCAAGCAGAATGGACGCGTCAAAAGTTTAATGAGTTTGGTATTCCAGACTCAAAGATCGTAACGTACTATCCATTGCTCAACTACCCTGTATCTCGCCGTTTGGAGATTGTATCCGGACCTGAGGAGTTACGTTATGTAGCCAAGCTCAAGGAAGACAGAATAGAAGAGGATCCATCAAGCGAAAATCCTGACATTGTACCATTGTTTCATGGTAAGTGAATTTATTTAAAGAGGTAGAGTAGACCTTGGCAGTAACATAACTGCTTCTTAAGGATATTCCAAAAACGGAACGGCAAGAGGTCCTGTTGTTTATGCCAACTATGGTCGATTGGAAGATTTCCAGTTTTTGGTTGATCAAGGTGTTCAAGTGAATGGAAGTATTGCCTTGGTACGATACGGACCCACTGTCCGTGGTTTGAAAATCAAAGCTGCTGAGAAGTACGGCTGTGTCGGTGTCTTGATCTTTTCAGATCCTATGGATGATGGTCCCATCGGCAAGGAAAACGAAGGTGCTCCCGCAGAATCTTATCCTAATGGCCCTTGGAGGGCCCCAAGTTCCGCGCAGCGTGGATCTGTTAGCTATATTGCATTAGGTATTGGTGATCCTTTGACACCTGGTTACGCAGCCACAGAAAATGCCACCCGTATTCCAATGGAAGAATCGCCCATGCTGCCTAAAATTCCATCACTTCCATTGTCCTGGGAAGACGCTTTGCCTCTTCTTAAAGCTACAGAGGGCCATGGTGTCTTTGGTGAATTCGACTGGGTTGGTGGCTTGGAGGGTGTACAGTACTACAGTGGTCCCAGTGAAGGCATTGTTGAGATGGAGAATATTGTAAAGTACAACGTAACGCCCATTTGGAATGTTATTGGACGTATCGAAGGTTCTGTTGAACCACACCGATCCGTTATTATTGGAAATCACCGCGATGCTTGGGTGTACGGCGCAGTAGACCCTTCATCTGGATCTGCTGCCTTGGTATGTGTTTGAAAACAGCTTTTTCTTGTATCTTGCTAATGCTGTGCTTTCATTTTTAGCTTGAAGTCGCCCGCGTGTTGGGTCAAATGTTACAAACTGGATGGAGGCCACGTCGTACTATCATTTTGGCTTCATGGGATGCAGAAGAATATGGTCTTATTGGTTCTACTGAATGGGTTGAAGAAAATGTTGAATGGCTTAAGGAAGAAGCTGCAGCCTACATTAACTGTGATTCTGCTGTTGCTGGTCCTTTCTTTACCCCAGGCGCTACCCCTTCTTTAAACAAGCTCTTGTATGAAGTGACCAGTTTGATTCCTGATCCACGCACAGGAAAATCTGTATACGATGCATGGCTCGAGAGATCTAAGGCTACCAATGGTCCTGTTGAGAAGCCTACCGTTGGTGTGCTCGGGTCCGGTTCTGATTTCACTGCCTTCTTGGATCATGTTGGTATTCCGTCTATTGATATGTCGTTTGATGGAAACTATGGAGTATATCATAGTGTATACGACAGGTAATGGAAAAGAAATTAAAAAAAAAGCATAAATCTTAACCCTCTGACCTGCATAGTTTTCACTATATGGAGAAATTTGGTGACCCTACATTTGAATATCATGCTGCCATGACAAAAATCTTTGGATTGTTAGCCTTGCGTTTAGCTGATGATCTCGTTTTGCCTATGCATCCAATAGACTACTCTACTGAGCTTCAGAGCTATGTTCACAAGTTACACGCATACACAGCTCCTCACACATTCCCTACGCTTAAAAAGTCAGTTCATACTCTATTAAAGACTGCTGCTGCCTTTGAAACCAGCATGGCTCAATTGAACGAAAAGCTCAAGAAATTCAACCAGGACGATGACAAGAAATTGGCTGCCAAATGGTCAAAGCGTGTAGAAAAGATGAACCAACGATTAGTCCAGTTTGAACGAAGCTTTATTGACGCTGATGGTATTGCTGGTCGTGAATGGTTCAAACATGTGGTCTATGCTCCTGGATTATGGACAGGCTACTCTGGTCAAGTATTCCCTGCTATTTCTGAAGCATTTGATGACAAGAATATGTCTTTAGCCCGTCGCGCTGAAAGCAAAGCTGCCAAATGTGTTCAAAAGGCTCAGGAAGCACTTTTATAATAATAAATATGTATGATTTGATTACTACCATAGTTGCATTTATTATTTACACATAATTTACATAAAAAAGAATCTATATTTGAGGAGATAATTTACTAATACGTCTTTTCACTTGTTCGTCTACAATAGCTTCCCATTCTTCGGGAATTCCATACTCTAAGTCTATATTCATGTCCTCCCAATCTTGTGGCTTTTGTATAGTCATTGCTCCATTGCTATAATTAGATAAAATAGGCATTATTACTGCCTTGGATGATTGGTTTTGAAAAGTGTTCAAACTGTCAGAATTGTCTTCCAAATAATAGTAATCAGTTATATCTTCTGATGTGCTTGCTCGAGGTAAGCGTTGCTCTCTTTGACCGGCTCTGTTTTCCAAAAGCAACTCACCAAATGTAGAAGCACTGCCCTCCGTATACTCTCTTGCTGTCGCTCTTGGAATGCTCGATTTTGAATACTGCCTTGCCGGGCGAGGACAGAGCTGGCTTGGAAACCGAGGTAGAGGTTCACGAACGGATGGTTCATACAGCTGCTCGCGTTCTGAGTAAGTGGCAGATGTACGGTTATACTTTCTTATGTCCGAATCAATCACAGCCTGCTCTTCTTCGTTGCTTGTTTTTAGATCAACATGTTGCAGCTCAATAGGGTCTGCGTTATCGATCTCTCTTGAAGCTTCAAAACTAAAGCTCTTACTTCTCGGCCGAGAGAATTTGTTCCATATCAGCGAGGCTGACGGCCGTCTGTTGCCTATAGATAAAATGAGCTTGCTTGGATTGAGCATCGGCGTAGAAAACTTGACAGCCGGTGATGAAGAACTGTTCGTACTTTCTTCTGCAGGGCCGGTATTATCCTGAAGTACTTGTAATGCAATGTCATCCTTGTACTCTGGCGATCGTTGCAGACTGCCAATGTTTATACTTGAGATTCGCCTTAGGCGCTTTCTTTTCTCTTGAAGCTCAGAAGCACCATTAAATACATGCCGAAAGGACGGATCAGGAGATACGTTGGATACCTGAGCTGTATCATTTTGAAAATCAATCTCGGATTCAGTTGCAAATCGATTGTCGGTCAGTAAGTCATCTTGAGACGCAACAGATAGTGGTGCAAATGATACAGCCGAAGATAAAGCAGATAGGTTGCGACTGCGATCGATAGTTGTTGAATCCTTATTCTCGCTAGGTTTAGAAGTTGATGCATCGGAGGTTACGGCTGATTTAGTCCTATTGGCTGCGTCGCTTATCCTGATCGTCGAAGGTGGGACGGTCACTGCCATCGGCTTAACTCTGAAGACATGTACCAGTAACCAATGTAAGAGCCTTGCTGTGAGCGGGTGTTTGAATGGCCTAAGGCTTTCAACAGCTCCAAGCTCGTTCCGTTGATAGGAAGGGCCGGGTGCACCATTAAAGTGGTCAGATGATCCATTGTCTGACTTGTTCAGTTTTAAAAGAGGAATAATAAAGGCCCGAGAGCGCTGTGGGAACGATTTGAATGATCGACTTGCATTATCTGTGAACTTGTTGTTGGGTAAATAAACTCTGCCATTTTTGGATGTCACCGTAACGATGTCATAAAGCTTTTCGAGTGAGCTAGTGCGTTGACCCTTGGTTGTCTGTAATTCGACTGAGGGAACGCGTGAGATATGTGCATACATATTGATACTTTCGTCATCGTCTGCTGGAAAAACCCCACCTACGTCCACCTCTGATCCAACGTCAAGCAATTTCTTCTTTATATCTTCTATCAGAGCCGAAATTCTTGCGTGTTCTCCTCGGCCTTCACCTCGAACAGGAGCGATTCTGATGATTTTAGGGTAATCGGCATCATCTCCATCAGATTCAGGATCAGGTTGAAATAAGACTGTGTAGTAGTCGTACACATATCTTCTCTTAATCGTATCCATGATCTCACCAAACACTGTACAAATAGCAGGGTCTGTAAAATAAATACAAGAGACCATGAAAGCTTTTGAATAAATGATGAGTTAGTCGATAATGCCAAATATTGAACATATGAATTTACCTAGTAAGCTAGAAAATAATCGATCTAGAATGAATACAGGGTAAGGAATATGTGCATTTGCTGCAACCGCTATCTCTATACTCACTCCCCAAATTTTTGAAATGAGAGGCACTAAGCATCAAAATAAGCAAACACTTTAAGAAATTCAAACAAAAGCTTACCTAAAGGATAACAAATACACCGAATGGCTATTTTCCGAAAAACATCGGTGGTGTTGCCATGTTTTCTGAGAATGTACAAGGAGCTAATAGCTGTATCTTGCTTTCGAGATTGTAGATCAAGTGCGCCAGCATAGTTTCCACGGGCTCGAACGATAAAGACAATTGCAATGATGGCATACATGGCCGCAAATAATGAAGAAAAGAGTAACCATCCATAATACCAAAGCTGCATAAGTGAGGTTAGCATATCGTCGTCTGAAATAGAAAACAAGTTGCTTTTTTTTTTTTTTACCCAATTGAATAGATTTCTCATCCGACCTTCAAAATAATAATGATACCTAATAAGCAATCATTCTTTTAGTATTGAAAGAGATAAACTGAGAGCTATATAAGGGGTCTTACCAGCAAGAGGCAACTATCTCATTAGGTAATGGGCCACTGATATGAGGTGCAAGTCTAGGTACGACGGATACTAGTACACCAGAAACAGCAATGATAACATAATAGAATATCTCAAGCTTCTTTGTCCTTGATACCTTCATAGCCAAGATCATCACCAGATTTAAGCCAATAACCGCCAAGCACATACAGGCCATTGTGTCCGTTGATATTAAAATATAAGCAAGTACCCGACAGGATGATTGTCTGCTGTCGATATGATCTACTGCTATCTGACTAGCAGAATAAACGCCATCAAATATACTGGAGAGGACGATCAGTCTGAGAGATAGTCTGTTTACAACCTTTGGGCGATAAGCTAAAATGATACCATGAACAATGAGGACACAAATTGTACCCGCCAAGGACATGATAGATGCTACAAGGTTGGTGATAATCAAACCAGATAATTGCCCTGCCGTGAAACTCATATGTTCCAAGTGAAAGTGTGTCTCTGCGTCCATTCCTCTATCCTTGTACCCATGAACTAGTTTAGGAAAAAAGGGGGGATGCAATAGTGAGACAGAAAGAGAGAGAAATAGAAGGAGAGAAGAAAAGGGCAAAAGAAAAATTTAAACCAATGATGCATAATAATTAAGGATTCAATTGTTATCTGAGCCGTTCCACCCAACAAAATGTCAATTCAGAATTGACAGCGGACTTTAATATTTGTTTCAAAAAGACTAAAAAGCCACACTCTAGTTCCCCTTCTCTCTTATTCTTGTACTGATGGCACCCTTAAGACAACTCGAGTTTTATTCAGGCATTGGTGGAATGGTAAAAAGAATAAACTAGCCCCAATATGTGGCGACACTCTTTTCTTAGTTTGTATCGTGCCTATATATTTATTCATAGCATTATGCTGCCAATTTAGCTGGTTGGGATGTTGACATATTAAAGGCTTTTGATATTAATACAGTCGCAAACGAGGTCAGTTCTATACCCATGATCCTTTTTTTTTTTTCGTTCTTCCTGAAACTTGGCCTCTCTTTTCACTAGATATACAGACATAACTTTAATCCAAAAATAGTCGGACAGGTGAACCCTTATTTAAAGTTTTGAGATAAGGTTCATAACCTTCTGGTTCCGATAGAAACTGATCGAGACTCTCTCGACAAAGCAATATGAGGATTTTGCAGCAGACGTATGGACTATGTCACCACCATGCCAACCATATACCAGACAAGGATTACAGCAGGGTAGCGAGGATGCACGAGCCAAGAGCTTTCTTTACTTGATGAATGTCTTGAAAAAAATGAGAAATAAACCAAAGTATATCTTGGTCGAGAATGTAAAGGGTTTCGAGGCAAGTAAAAAAAAAATCAAGAGATCGTGAGAGAGCTTATAGTGTTTGTAGGAATCCGATTCACGAGATATACTTGTTGATGCTTTACAACATAGTGACTACAACTTTCAAGAGTTTTTACTGACGCCTTTACAGCTTGGAATCCCTAATTCACGTATGAGATACTATTTATTGGCCAAGTATAAACCCTACGAATTTGCAGTACCTGTTACCGGCACAATTATAAACTACATTCCTCTTTCTGCAAAAATGTCCAAAGCTTTCATTGACAATAGAGGACAAGAGTATGTGGATGAAGCAGAGGTGGAAGCAATATCTGCTTATTTGGAGCCTAATGTTGACGAACAAGCCTTTTTAGTGCCTGATAAAGTGCTTCTTAAAAATATGCAAGTATTTGATATTGTAAAGCCGACTAGTAGACGTAGCTGCTGCTTTACAAAAGGATACTTTCATTATGCCCAAGGCACAGGATCCATTCTGCAGATGAGCGAGAGTTTAGATGTAATGAAGCATATGACACACACATACACACATAATGCTAAATATTTAATAGACATCAATAGTCTTTCAACAAGCAATGGAATATAAAGATATTGATGAAGGCAAACAATTAGAGTTACTCAAATCATTAAGATTAAGATACTTTACTCCAAGAGAAGTAGCCAACTTGATGGGATTTCCTGATCAGTTTAGCTTTCCCAACACAAGCTCACTGAAACAAAAATACCGCACCTTGGGCAATAGCATTAATGTTAAACTGGTGTCTGAATTAATGCGTTACCTTTTGAAAGAACCTTTTGTCAGTTCGAATCAAAATGAAAGTCAATAAACTTTATATTGAGACATTACAAATGTGCTTTGGTCTATTTCAAGGATTTACCCTGAGAAACTAAGCTTGTCATATATGGTAAAATTCCGTTTATCTCCGCCGCAAGAAACAGAGACATTGTTTGAGAAAGAGGACGAAGAAGGTATTTGTTAGAGCAGATCATCATCATCATTCATCCTTTATACTCAAACTAGAAGGAAAGATATGCAGCATCATACATGAATTGATTGCTTTTTTTGATACTCTCTCGGGCCGAACATCATGCCTGCACGACAAGCGTTTGGTCCCTGAAAGTGCATGAGTTTTCTTTCCAAAGCCCAGGGATACCGTCGAGAAAATTTTTTTAATCGAGTCATCTTTGGCTAATACTTGCAGATATCCCAGGTTCGTTACATTGATTCAAGAAGTAATTGACCACATCGCTCAATTGGTATATGCTGGATTCATTTTTGCTAATTACTATTTCTTGTATCCTTTCGAGAATGGTGAAGAACTACCTGTGATCACTCAGAATCTGGTCTATAAATATTTTCCGTGTTTACTGACCAAGGAAAACATTCGTCTTATAGTATCAAGAAGAGCTTCAAGAACTTTTGTGAATCTACTTCTCTTACTCCATCTGGATCAAAGCGAAGAGTACACTGTCCTCAAGTGTGAATGTTGTGGTGCGGTGTGGAATCGCGATGTGAACAGTGCATTAAATATATATGGTATCTTTGTTTACAATTCAAAGCATGACACTGAAAGCCTTTCAAAAAACTAATAGTGCTCTCTGGATTTAATTCGATGTCCATAACGGCAGTGCATTCCTTAACATCTCGGTAAGTATAAGGCGAACAATACATTATTTTTTTTATTCATTAGTCTCCCAGTTAAAACAGATCTTTGAATAAAGTCACACAATTATCATTAGGTTACACGTATAATCAATAGTTTGCTTAAGATGTGTTTCTTAAATGGATGAAAAGAAGTCATTAATGAGGGGCCGTACTTTTGATACAGGACCGATGATGACCACTCGACCTGTATTTGTTTTGAAAAATAAGTGATTGACGCTTTTCATCATTCTTCTATATACAGGGTTATCCGGGCGTGTATTTATGCCCTTGATCGCGTCGTCATAATCTTTAGGGCTACCATACACAGTTTCTACATTATTTTCATCATATATAACAACACGATCTGGGTTTCTCATAATTCGCATGGTTCCCTTATCAATTAAGGGTATCACTTTGTCTTGATTCATGGTATTTGTACTAAATAAGCCTGATGGCGATGAATCTTCATTTGTACTGAATAAGCTTGATGGGGTTTCTTTTGTACTGAATAGACTAGCTGATGATGTATTTCCGTTTGTACTGAATAGGTTTATTGATGATGAGCTCTTGTTGATACTTGAAGGTGATATTGTATCTTGGTCTTTAAGTGATTGTTTCATATGGCCTTTTGGAGTTTCTGCAATAGGTGGCACTACAGCAGTCGGTGTTGCTTTCTTTGGCTTTGATAATGGCATAAAGGGTGTAAATCTTTTGTTGGGTAGCGAGAATTTTACAGTAGGTGACATACTTTTATTTAATGTTGATGTTGCTACTGTGGGTGGCGCTTTTGATGACGAAGTTGCAACAGTAGGTGGAACTCTTGATGTTGCTGTTACAGTAGGTGGTGCCTTAGATGATGATGTCGCTACAGTAGGCGGTGCACTTGACGATGGTGCTACAGTAGACGGTGTTTTTAGTGTTGTTACAGTAGGTGGAGTTCTTAACGGCGATGAGTGATGAGATGAGGTATTCTTCTGGTGAATTGGCTGATTTCCTTTCATGGATGGGGTATTGATTGGCTCAATAGGAGACGAAGTATTGTATTCTGGCCATTGCTTGTATTCTTTATGTGGTTTTGAATTGCCGCTGTTGCCTATATGATGAGTAGTTGTTGCTGGCAATCCTGTTCGCTTTATATCCAACAGCCCTGGAGCAAATATGGCGAGTTCTTCCTTTTGGTATTCAAATAGTCTTTCATGCTGCCTTTGGTGATTATATAAGAGTTCCTCAAAGCCCTGTCTGTGCTTTTTCTATAGATACAATCAATCTTTGCCTTTTTCGCGCTCTTATTATTTATTACCATCAGAGTAATCAAATATTCTTGTTTCCGTTCTTCCAACTTGTCTTGAATGATATCGTTGTCATCTTGAGTTTCATGTTCGTCATGTGTAAATGATGCCAAGTGCTCGATCGCATCTGCATTTTCTATTAAGAAATGTTGTGGGTCAACTTCTTCAATCAGACTAAAAGTAGGCTCAATAAATAGATCTTTATCATATTTGATTGCGAATTGCTTTTCATATTCTCTTAGTTCTTGTAATTGTTGAGCAATTAGTCTTTCTACTTGTCTTTGGTGTCTTGCTTTAATTAGCTTATAGTTTCTTTCTGATTTAATAGCAGCGGCTGGAATGTCTGAAGGTAAATATACATCATCGCTTTAAAAGGGACTTTAGTAAGGATATATACTGATCGTATGCTTTTTTTTTTTACTTTGTGTTTTTTTCTTCATATATCCAAAGCAACGAGTCTTTTACGGGCATAAGTAGTACAAGGACAAAGAATACAAAATTCAAGCAAAATTATTTCAGTCACAAGAAAAAGTATATAAAAAAAGGGCGTTTTTATGTGTGTATAAAAAAAAGGAATGATAAGAAGGAGGGGGATAATAATAATAACAACAATAAGATGTATAAAATGGTATATAAAGGTTAAATAGTGATAATAATAGTAGTAGTATAGGTTATTTCTGTCCTTTGCCTGCTTTAATAAGCCATTGTAATGTAATATCAATATTCACTTGATTTTTTGCTGAAATAGAATAGCATGATACTTCTCTATTCTTGATAGTCTTTAAGTGTCTATTTATTAAGGTGAGTACTTTTTCTTTTTCTTTTTTTTTTTTTTTTCTTTCTTTCTTTCTTTCTTACAATGCTTCAATCAGTTCTTCGGCCGTTAAGGCCTCTGATAAATCATTTTTATTTCCAAGGACAAGTACAGGAATATTAGCCAGTTGTGGTTTCTCTAATAAATTCTTCAATTCTGTATTGGCAGCTTCTAGTTTGTCACGATCTGCTGCATCAACCACAAATCTTTTTTTTAAAAAAAATTTTAGTATCATATATCAAGCCATACTCTCTCTTTCTCTCTAGTCTACTTACACTATGGCGTTCACTCCACGACAGTATCTTTCCCACATACTTCTGAATCGAGGTTGTCCTCCAATATCCCATAGTTTCATTGTAACGTTACCTTTGGTCACTTTACGCATATTGAACCCAACTGTGGGTATGGCGTCTTCGATAAACTGTCCTGACTAAGATAATGTCAGTTTGATTTCTAGCTTAATATTCTGATTACTTACTGCTATAACGTTTACAAGCGTTGTCTTTCCACTGTTTTGAAGTCCAACAAGAGTTAACTCCATTTCGGTCTATAAATGTCTTAGCATACAAATAGACGTAATAAAGTTAATCTTACCTTAAAAAATAAACTTCTTAGCCAATCTATTAACCACTGAATAAGTCCTGCCATATTGTTTTAACGAGAAAAAAAGAAAGAAAAAGAAAAGAAGATAGAGAAGGAAGAGAGAGAGAAAAGAAAAAAAACTCGATAATAGGGGAAGGAATTTCAGAGTTCCATGACCGACGTCACATGTATAAAACATAGTCAACATCCTAAACAAGCTATTATTATAAAATGACATGTTTTTTTTTTGTCTTGAAGTGGAGGGTATGGCATATGTCAAATAGATGGTATCAATATCTGACTAGATCAGAGTAGCTTTGAAGTTGCTACTCACTTTTAAAATCACCTTTTATGACAGTACGTAGCACAAGGCGCTTCCATTTTTGAAATAATGTATTCTGATTGGTAGAAGCGATGCGTGCACACTCTTTCCAGAGATCAAAAAATTGTGCTCCACTGAAATCGCAAATTTAACAAAATTTGAAGCCGCTTAAAGAGTAAAGAATGCTATCAGGAACGTCTATTAAACTTTTATCCGATTGCATAGTGACAATAGCTAAGAAAGGTTACAATCGGGGTATCTCTTGTAGCTTATGTCATCCAACTCAAGTTTCATTCTTAACATTTTTCAGAATTTTTATAGTGCTCTTTGTGAAGCAAAGCAATTTTAGGTTAATAAGGACCAAAAGAATCATAAAGAGTCAAATGAAGACAAGGTAAATAATAGGAGCAAGAGAATGAGAGAATATATACGCATATACTATAGTTTTTAAACAGAAATAGCCACGCGTCATTCTCTAAAAGAATTTTGTGGATATTACATCTGCTGTTTTTTGATCTGCATTAAAAATCAAGAGCTTGAAGCCTATTTGCGCGTCATGTACAAAGATAAGCGATTAATAAATAAAGATTCAGCCGATTAAAGAGTCTGAAGCTAATATCGTTTGTTTGAAAGAGACTTGATACACAAAAGCATGAATAGGACAAGGCTCTTAAGCAGACAACATTTTCAGCTCAGCTACTCAGTGTAGCAAAAACATGGAAGAATCCAGAAAATATCAAGATTGACCTGTTGCTTACTTCTAGAGGAACGCTCTTCTTTTGCGAAGGTTAAAAAAAAGATACACAAACCACGCGATTGACCCGTTTTCATGGTTATTTTATTTCTTTTTTAATCCAAACTGAAATCCACCAGTCTTTTTTAAACCAAAAGCAAGCTTCTTTGGTGCTTCTGCTGAGGTTTCCTTCTTCTCTTCAGTCTTTATTTCAGAACTGTTTCTTAAGCTGTTATTGTTATTGTTGTTATTATTACTATTGATATTAGTACTAGTACTGGCACTAGTACTGGTCACAGTAGCCCAGCCCCCACTAGTCTGATCAGACGTTCGCTCACTTGATGGTTTGCTTGACACATTCGTCCATCCTCCGTTTGGTGTCGATGAAGGAACATTTGTCCAACCTCCACTTTGAGTCAATGAAGGTGCAGCTGTCCAGCTGCCTTTATCTGCTTGTACAGTAGACATGGTTGAAGTGGTCGATGTTGCGCTTGTTGTACCAATTTTCTTTCGAATAGCCTCTTGCATTCTCTTCAGCTCTCTTTCTTCTCTCTTCTTTTCGCGAGCCAAGCGCCTCTCTCGCTCTGATTGATTTAATTCTGAATTTCTGGTGCTCTCCTTCATCTCTTTGAATCTCTATAAGCTTATTAACACAATGCTTTCTTTTTTGTGTCTGCTTAATAGTTACCTTTTTGTGATGATGATCATAACTTTGCAAATGTTGTTCGTACTCAGAGATCTTATTGTATTGCTTATCACACAATTCACAGTAAAACATACGCTTAACCTGTTCTAATTCTTTCATAATCGCCTGTTTTTTCTCTGCTCTATATTCTCGTTCTATCCTCTGTATCTCTGTTTCTTCAAGTTGCTTTTCACTATCCAATGCCCTTCTTTTTGCTGTACTAGAGACATGGGTCTCTTCTAGTTCCTGCGCCTTTCCAACACCCAGCGTCTCATCTTTTACTTCAATCAGGATAGGATCCACTCGACCTAAACAGATAAAAAAGAAAAGAATCAGCCATTGTTGCGTAATAATCATGAATGATTACCTTGACTATGAGAGCCTAATCCACTACCAGCAATCCATCCCATTTTTTGCATCATTTTATATCCAATATTGCTTTCAGGAATACGAGTTTCCATCGTTACCTTGGTTGTCTGTTGCCAGTCAATATAGCCAGTGGGTTCTGCAGAACGGCTCACCCGCTCTTGTTCAAATAAATCGTCGTCTTGTTGCATCTTTTATTGTTGTAGTAATCATAGGAATTAAAAAAAAAAAAGAGAGGTAAAATGCTGCTCCTCTATTTTCTAGTTTGGAACATTTAACTCTTTATTGAATGTTCACCTCACCTTAAATTGTTTAATCGTCTTCAAAAAAAAAAGAGAAAAAGAAGATGTGACTTTATGCTTCCCTTTTTTTATATTTTATTTTTTTTTAGAATGCAGTTTGCACAAAGAACAGCTCTCATTACAGGAGCAACACGAGGTATCGGTAAATGTATTGCCGAGACATTTGCCCGAGGAGGAGCCAATACGATACTGATCGGTCGTGATTCAGACCGAGTGAGATCAGTTGAACAGTTATTCAAAACTGACTTTGCCCATCAGACACATCAGGGTGTTGTGCTCGATATATCAAAGAAACAAGACATAGACACGAGGATAAAGGTAAACCTTGTTATAGTATTTGGCAAATATTAAACTAGAATTGATATTTAGGATGTATTAAAAGGTCAACAGGTTGATTATTTGATTAATGCAGCTGGAATTTCAAGAGATAGCTTATTTGTTCAATTGAAATATGAGGAATTAATGGACGTGATTCATACAAATCTGGTCGGAACCATGTGCTTAACACAGCATGTTGCTAAATCGATGATGAGAAAGCGAAAGGGAGGATGTATTATTAATATAGCTAGCGTTATTGGCGTACAAGGTAATATTGGTCAAACTGCCTACAGTGCCTCAAAGGCAGGTCTCATAGGCTTTACAAAATCACTTGCAAAGGAATTGGGGCCATTGCAGATTAGAGTCAATGCAATTGCACCAGGATTCATTGAGACAGATATGACATCTACTATCACAGAAGAAAAAAGATCAAAACTACTAGCATCCATTCCCTTGGGAAGATTTGGAAGCGTGCATGATATAGCATTGGCTGCTGAATTCATTGCAAAATCCAATTATGTTCATGGTCAGGTGCTTACGGTCGATGGTGGTTTAATACTTTAAAAAAAATTCCCCATACTTTTTTCTTTTTTGTTTTTTTGTTTCTTTGTTACACTTGCATTATTCCCTTTTTCAGCTGAAAGCTTAAGTGCAACAACTATAATAAAAGTGGAGTCCAACAATAGGAATAGAAAGGGAAATAACCCCTTTGAGCAAAGTTTATCGCCCGAGTTTTCACCTTGGAATGAGGTTCATTCTCCATTCGACAACAATCAGTCACCATGGAACCCATTCGTCACTTCGGAAGAAGCTAATCTTCACCCATCACCCAATAACCTAAATGAATTTATAGACTTACAACAAGAACCTCATACAAACCAATCTAGTTCTTCAGGAATGAATACAGCAACTGTTTTACCAACAGCAAAACCTGCTCTTTTGCCAAGCGAAAATAGAGATTTGAGTGACAAAGGTTTGGCGCGGAAAAAAGAAAAAGCGTTGCCAAGACAATGATAATAATAATAAGCAATTTTTTTATAAAGGTTTATTTGATAATACAAAAAGCACCCCAGAGGATAGCGACACAACGCGGCTTTATAGTAATACAGTAGGGAATGACACAAGCACTTCACCATACGCACGAGCCAATCTGCGATTGCCCAAAAAAAGAAATTGGTTGGATGGGATCCTACAACGTTTTAAAGGTCCTCAGCCACTTTCTGACGGAACTGAAGTTCGTACAATTCATATCAACAACCAGTCGTTAAATGAAGAACAAGAATTTTTGCATAATGGTGTAACCACAGGAAAGTACAATTTATTGACCTTCTTGCCAAAATTTCTGTATGAAGAGTTTTCAAAGTATGCCAATATTTTTTTCTTGTTCATATCCTGCATTCAGGTAAAGCTTTTTGTTGTTGATATCTTTTAGTTTTTATTAAAGATATATTTATAGCAAATACCTGGTGTCTCTCCCACGTCAAGATGGACTACACTCGTACCATTAGTCATCGTTCTACTGATTACCGCCGTAAAGGAGATCATTGAAGATTGGGGCGTGCATCGATCGGATGCTGAACTCAATTCAAAGAAATGTAAGGTGCTACAAGGAACACAGTTCATTGAACAAAGATGGAGAAACATTAAGGTGGGTGACATTGTTCGTGTTGAAAGCGGTGAGCATTTCCCTGCGGATCTCATCTTGATCAGCAGCAGTGAGCCAGATGGGCTGTGTTATATTGAAACAAGCAACTTGGATGGCGAAGTGAACTTGAAGATTAAACAAGCTTTACCACAGACAGCACATATTTTAAATCCAGTTGATGTGAGCCAACTGCAAGGTGTGATCAGATCAGAACAGCCCAACAACCGTTTATACAATTATGATGGTACTCTGTCCATTTCGTCACTTGGCTCTCAGAGACGCGATCTTCCCTTGGATCCTACTCAGTTGTTGCTCAGAGGGGCTCAGTTGCGCAACACAAGCTGGGTCTATGGCATCGTCATCTTTACTGGTCATGAAACAAAGCTGATGTTAAACTCGAGTAGAAAACCATCAAAGGTGTCCAATGTCACTCGAATTACAAATAGAAACATTATGTACCTGTTTTGGATCTTGCTTGGTATGAGTCTTGCCGGTGCTATTGGCGGTGTTCTCTTCTCAATGTATAAAGGCCAACAGGCCACATACCTGCCTCTTCATTCTTGGAGTCATGGTCAAGAGTTTGGATACGATATTTTGACATACTTGATCCTCTTTAGTTCCTTTATTCCTATCAGGTAAAGTATATAGATATAGATATAAAGATAACGAGTTTCTAATCTGCTCCACTCTAGTTTAATGGTCACTATGGAGATTGTCAAATTCGCATTAGCTTATTTGATCGAAAACGATATCGATCTGTATTATGAAAAGGCCAATACACCTGCTACGGCCCGCAGTAGCAGTCTGATTGAAGAGCTAGGACAAGTCAAGTTTATATTTTCAGATAAAACCGGAACTTTGACATGTAACGAAATGCAATTTCGTCAAGCTTCGATTGCTGGACTCTTTTATGCAGACCAAGTAGATGCTGAGAGACGAGCTCGTGGTGACGGCCAAGAGCTAGATCCTAACGCGCAGTACACCTTTGATCAACTAAAACAACACTTGAACACGCACTCAACAGCTAATGTCATTAACGAGTTTTTAACACTTCTAGCAGTTTGTCACACTGTTATTCCAGAACGAGAAGAGGATACATACCAGATTGTCTATCAAGCCTCTTCCCCAGACGAAGGAGCGCTTGTCAAGGGAGCCGCTTCCTTAGGATATACGTTCCATACGCGTCGACCAAACTCAGTAACGTGCACTATCCTCGATCAAGAGCTAGAATACCAAGTACTTAATATCTGTGAATTCAATTCCACACGAAAGCGTATGTCAGCCATCATCCGTGGACCAGATAATAGGATAAAGCTATATTGTAAGGGGGCTGATACAGTTATACTCGAACGACTGGCCCAGGATAATCCATTTGTTGAACCGACTCTGCTTCATTTGGAAGACTGTGCATCAGAAGGCCTTCGCACCTTGTGTATTGCTATGCGTGAGATATCAGAGGAAGAGTACGCTCATTGGTCACAGATACAACAAGCAGCATCGACTACACTTGTCAACAGAGCTGAGGAGCTTGATAAAGCAGCCGAATTGATTGAGAGAGAATTATTCTTGCTTGGTGCAACAGCCATAGAAGATAGACTTCAGGATGGTGTCCCTGACGCGATTCATACCTTACAAGAGGCAGGAATTCATGTGTGGGTCTTGACTGGAGATAGGCAAGAAACAGCTATCAATATTGGATATTCCTGTAAATTGCTCAATGAGGATATGAGCTTGATTGTCTGTAATGAAGACAATCACTGGAGCACCAAGGCATATTTAGAAAAAAAACTAAAGGATATTAATGAAGTGATGATAAAAGGCGAAGAACTAGAAGTAAAGACATATGCACACTTGATAACATTTATTTATTTTATTTAGCCTTTGGCTTTAGTGATCGATGGAAGAGCGTTGACGTTTGCTCTTGACAAGAGTGTAGAAAAGACATTCTTTGATCTTGCTGTTCTCTGTAAGGCTGTGATTTGTTGTCGTGTGTCGCCACTCCAAAAAGCACTTGTGGTCAAATGTGTTAAAAAGTATGATAGATCTATTTTGCTTGCCATTGGTGATGGTGCTAACGATGTATCGATGATCCAAGCTGCTCATGTGGGCGTAGGCATCAGTGGCGTAGAAGGCTTACAGGCAGCACGAAGCGCGGACTTTTCTATTTCGCAGTTTAAATTTCTCCGAAAGTTGTTGCTCGTTCATGGTGCTTGGGCATATCAACGTATGAGCAAGATGATCTTTTACTACTTTTACAAGAATGTCACACTTTATTTAACGCAGTTTTGGGTAAGTTGTCATAGATAAATTGTATTTGATTCATGGACTCACATTATGGCTCAAAAAGTATGCGTTTTACAATGGATTCTCAGGATCGACACTTTATGAATCATGGACAATGTCATGTTTTAATGTATTCTTTACCTTCTTGCCTCCTATAGTGATCGGTGTCTTTGATCAGATTGTGTCTACTCGTATGTTGGACCGATATCCTCAAATGTACACTCTAGGCCAAAGGAATGTTTTCTTTAATCAAAAGAAATTCTGGGGATGGATCGCCAATGCAACATTTCATTCACTCGTATGTTATTTTTTATCCTGTGTAACTCCTCTAACTTTACTATTGTAGGTCTTATTCTTCTTGGGAGTGGCTGCCTTCAGATCAGAAGGTGTTTTTCGTAATGGATTACTAAGCGGACAGTGGTGGGTTGGTGCTTCCGTATTTACGAGTGTACTAGGTTGTATCTTATGGAAAGGAGCCTTGATTATTGAGTAAGTTTATTCGATGATTCTATCTAAAATACCGAGGATCCCCGCAAAAATACTAATGAATACGATTGGCTAGTTACTGGACAAAATACACCGCCATCGCTATGATTGGCTCCATGGCTATATGGTTTTTGTATCTGATCATTGTTGTATATATTGCCCCGGCTATATCCGTAAATGCTCTACCAGAGTATTATGGTATAGTACCTATGCTTTGGGGAAATGTCAACTTTTGGCTGTTTTTGATCATTGTGCCCTTTATATGTAATTTGCGTGACTTTATATGGAAGTAGTAAGTTTAATAAGAATAAGAAAAAGGGAATGATATTGACATGTCATTGATAGTGGAAGAAGAGTGGTCAGACCTACAACATATCATCATGTCCAAGAGATACAGAAATACAACTTACCAGACTACAGGCCGAGAATGGATCGATTTAGACAAGCAGTTAACAAGGTGCGTCGTATTCAACGTCTAAAGAGAAATCGAGGCTACGCATTTTCCCAAAATGAAACAGATCAGACCAAAATAATAAGAGCATACGATACGACCCTACAAAAACCGGTTGGTTAAATTTCATGTCCCTCTCCTTTTTGTTTCTATTTGAAGTCTGTTGGATAGATTTCATGTTCCTTTCATATATCTTTTATAATGATAAATTATTTGCCGTAATTTTCCGTTTAGCGTTTTCCTATTTGTTTGTAGCCAAAAGGGGAAATGACGTGACATTTTTTTTTTTTACTGTCTAGTATAAATAATTAAAAACTTCGTCCCTTGTTTTAATTTTTCATCCTTTCTTATATTAAAATAACAATGCAACATATCGACTCTGACAAGTTATACGCTGACGGTGCTTATCGTTTTGAATTCGTATCCAAGTTTATGGAATTTGGTAAGTTATACAAATTGAATGGGAAAGAGAGATTATTAAAAAGAGAGAAAAACTTTCAGGTCCTGAAGATATCAAAGCTATTGAGGCCGTTGCTGATCATATTCGTCCTCTGGTACCTGTTGTTGTTGATGCTGTCTATGTCAAGCTATTCCAATTTGATGTTACCAAGAAACACTTTGTGCCAAAGAATGAAGGATTTGCTGGTGAAGCTCCTACCACTTTGGAAGAATTGACACTCGATCACCCACAGATCAAGTTTCGTAAGGACTTCTTGAGCAAGTACCTCTACAAAATTCTCTCTGGCCCCTATGACGAACGTTTCCTTCGTTACCTTGACTGGGTTGCAAAGATTCACACAGATACACCTGAAAAGAAATCAAAGATCAATGTAGACTATATCCATATCAATGCCTTGATGGGCTTTGTCGAATCAACCTTGGTCGGCGGTCTGTTATCTCTCAACCTTGACCGTGAAACAGAGTCCAAGGCTTTATTGGCATTCAACAAACTGCTCTGGATTCAAAATGATTATTTTGCCAAGTATTACTGTAATCCAGCTACTATTAAGGACGCAAAGGTATCTGATAAGAGTAGTTTGTGCACATTGGCTTCCCCTGCTTCTCTTCTTCCTTTGATCGTTGGCGCTGCTGCTGGTATTGCTGGTGCTTGGTATCATTTCCGTCGTGCTTAGAACATTTTACCCGCCTTTTTCTCACTTGTATCTCTTATCTCTTAATAAATTTTAAGCTTTATCACCCCATATTTTTTATTTTAGCCACGCAAATAATAATAATAATTCTCTGGTTGCTGAGGTTCAGCTCATTTAAACATGTCTTTAGAGGATTAACAATCAAGGAAAAAAAAATATTATTGTCTAAGCTTGAACTAGCTCTTATATCACCTGAGATGCTATACGGGTGGGATTCCTTTATTGAAAGCACTTGTTTACAGGTTAATCACGCTAGAACCGCGTTTATTTGCAATATAAAAAAGAATAAAAAGACAAAAATAAAAGTCACCTTAAAAAACATATTTATTAAAGATTATTCCCAAAAGCCAATGTTTTGCGCCCAAAGAAAGCCTAAAAGAGAAGGAAAAAAAAGGTTAGTAACGATGCCAAAAGCCATCTAAAGGTTCTGATTGCTGCTGTGACGATATTCTTCACATCGACCATTGACCATCAGAACAAGGGACCAGGCACTCATAAAAACCATCAGACCACCAAATACCAAGCAGCCTGCAAAGACCCGCAGTAGCAGACGTACCGTTGGGGTATGCATTACCTGAGCCTTGTCAATTTTTAACTAGCTTATGTGCCCCTTTGCGCCAGCCAGACAGCAGGAAGCATCATCAACAATCTGTCAAAGCTGTGATCTCAGATAACCAGCTCCCAACTAGCTACTAGCCCCCTGTAAAGATTCCAATCGAATGCCCATAATTCTCCTTTTGGCTACCTGAAAGTCTCCAGTTGAGTGATGAAACGAACGACCGTTGTCAGTCTAGGACGCGTGTCGAGCATCATAGAAAGAGATTGCATAGAAATCCTTGAACACGCAGTCGTCGCCTTGCTGAGTAAGTTTTATAAAAAAAAACTTACATTGACCAAAGAGAACAACAAAAAGAGCCACCAAAAAGAGTATAAAAAAAGTATTAAGAGAAAAGAAGGAGAGAGAAAAAAGGGATGAAGGCAAACTTCTCTCTTTTTATATCTCTTTTTTTTTAGCTATGTAAAGCTCTTGTTTTCTATCTTATCGATAATCATTAATTGAATAAGGTTTTACTCCTTACAAGGAAATAAGGTTTACGCCCACGCTTTTGTTTATTTCATGTCTTTTAACACAAGCTGAGTCTAAGTTTTTACTATCTTTATTTGATCATTTATATATCCAATCCATAAGTGTATACAAGTGACAATCTGAATGGCTCCGTGAAAAATTAAAGAGCAATAAGTTGACTCCCACACGATACCACTTTCATGAAGTCTTTATTTATGCTGTGCATACCTGGACTCATTTAAGTATAGAAAGAAAAATCACATGCCGTCTCTTTTAGCCACACATCATCTTGCCTTCACATTTACTCTATTTAATTTAATAACGAAAGTTTGTTACTTATGTGACTCTTATTTTGAATCCTCTACAGTTTGTGATACTTTACCCCATATTACACTGTCTCTCTTTATTTTCCTTTGGTTTTGCTAGGTAAAACCTATAACTTATTTAGAGTAAAGGTCACTTTGTTTTAGTGATCGTGCTGCTTATTATAAAGTAACACTGTTCTAAAACAGAGATTTGCATAAATTAAAAGATGTCACCGCCATTTTTGGTAATTTGATATTCACGTTCCGATAAGCCGAGACTAGCTTCTGTAGTCAAATAAGTACAAATGATTACTTTTTACCATCTTATACTTGATCCAGTAAAGGAGGTGAAGCTTCTTACTTATCTTGGAGCCTGCTTTATACGAATTATGCTCAAATATTTTGGTACAAAGAATATTGTATGTAATAGTACATATTATCTGCCTTAAAGCTTTCATAGAACAGAACGGGCTACTTTATTATTTAAGCCCGTTTTATGCAGATCTGTACATTTGACAATCAACAGCGGATAGAGAAATGTTTATTTTTGACAGCCAAGATTGGATCCATACCGTTTATCCTCTTGTATTTATACAATAGCCTCTATTAAATTCGAACTATATGCAAGAAAGTTGTTTTGTATGTATGCATATCTGCTGGTTTGCTGCACTTTACCAGATATCAACATCAATATACATCTTTATACATTTCAAGAAAAGTCAATAATGTTGTTCCTGCAGTGCATATTTTATCTTGTTATGTTTTTATGAAAAAACGAATATTACTGTAGCTTTATGAATCCTTAAATCACCCACCTTCACTACTACATCTTCCTTTTCCTTCAAGAGATGTAAGCGGAATAGTACGTCTTTATAACAGAATCCAGTGCCTTTCATACAACTGCTAAGCATTTCTTAGCATCATACACACATCATGGTACTAGTAGAAGCATCCAATCGATTTTTTTTTTGAATTTTCATTTTATTTAGATAAACTAGATGCTTATTTAGGCAAATTGTTCTTCAAACTCTTCCATTTGACACTACGAACATGGAAAGGAGGCTTGATGTTCTTTCGAGGGCCCAAGAAGGTGACACTCTTGCCTTTGTAGTAGTAGTCATCGTACAAGGTTACTTCCAGCCATTTTTGAGTTTCATAAGAAGCAACCGTCATGTTACCACGCTTGCTACCTGCACCTCCACCAGGAGAAACACTGCCATGGATTTCACCAACTTGGTCTTGATAATATGGTTTGCCATAAAAGATGATATCAAAGTCATCATGGCTCTCTTTACTAGAAGGAGCAGCATGAACAAGAGCAATCAAGAATAAGGTAAAAACAAGGTAGAGAAACTTCATATTTATGTAGTGAAGAGAGAGAAGAGAGATGCCTCTTTCTCTCACTATTTATACTCAAGCAAACATTAAAAAAAAGCTGTTTCTAAAAATAAGGACATGCAACCTCAAAACCAAAAATATGCAAATCTGTTTTTAACTCAAGGTTGTACACACACATATATATATTGCTTTAAACCAATTTTTAGAGATGCTGATCTGCCTTTTGCTGCGCCTCTTGATTTGCTTGCTTCAATTATTATCAATCACTCAAGCTAAATCATAAAAAATGGCTCTTTATAGGTTGATTATATACTAATGCCAGCTGCGCTAAGCAGTTGGATTAACCTTCAACTGATGTCATTTTTTGTCGTTTTCCCCCGGAAAAATAGTTCCGCCTGTTACAATAAATGTATAAAAATTCCTTTTTCTCTTTCTCTCTTTTCATTGACTATTGCTCACATGATACCAAAGACAACCAGATACTCTCCTTATTTCAAAAAGACAGAAAAAGTAACTGTAACCAAGCAAGAAACGGTGACAGTAAAGGAGGAAGCAACTGTTGATAAAGGTGTACCGGATCTTTTAGACTATGACTTGAAAGTGTTATTTGTTGGTATCAATCCTGGCATAACAAGCGGCGCCAAAGGTCATCATTATGCTAACCGCACAAATCATTTTTGGCCATGTCTATCAGAAAGTGGTCTCGTCGACAGAAAGTTGACGTTTGAAGACGATGTGAACACACCCAAGCTATACAGGCTAGGGTTTACCAATCTGACACCTAGAACTACCCGAAGAGCCACAGATCTGTCCTTGGCAGAACAACGAGAGGGCATACCCATACTAAACAGTAAAATTGAAAAATTCAGGCCCAGAATTGCATGTTTTGTTGGAAAGGGTATCTACGAGATTTACTCAAACAAGAAATGTGACCAGATGGGGCTTCAAACGGATGTACGCATAAAATGGCAGGATAGAGATGGAGAAACATTGATCTTTGTCATGCCAAGTACAAGTGGACTTGTAACGGCATACAAGAAACCAGATAGAATAAGGCAAGTGTTATGAGTATTACTCAGCATACATTAACCAATCTAAAAACAGATTCTTTCAGGAACTTGCTAAACTTGCTGAGCAGCAGGATAAAATACACCCACAAAGTTAGTTTTTATTATTGCTTTTTTCGTATTATATATTGCTTTAATAAATCAATACAAATACTCGCATCCTCCAAAGAGTCATGTCCATCTGAACTGTCCTGAATGAATTTCTTGGTGACTGATGAAGCTAAACCACGAAGGCTGTTTCTAAAAGGTAGCCCAGCTTTATGAGGATAAAGCTAAAAATATATTCATTAAACCAACAATATGCAAAAATAGATATTATAAATAGACTTACAATGACGGTATCTACAACCTTGGTGTGAACCAATCGAAGTGCACACATATCATTTTCCAGACCATGACCAACGATGATCGTGTCCTGATCAACGTACTCAAACAGTTTTTTCCTTATGCCGTCCAGGTCATACTTGACTCTTTCTAATGTTTTCACACCGCTGAACCTTGTGTTCAGATCAACGACCATATTTGAAGGAAGCACCAACTCATCTAGTAACATGTTCTTTTGTTCATCAACAACTGTTAACCGGATCAACTCCATACCCGCTGTTGTATACCCCATCTCACAATCTAGTGCGACCAGCTTGTGCCTAGTCTTGCTGTCGCTGATATTTCGAGCAGGTGCTGACACAAAGGGTATCTTTTGATGCAAGACAGTTAGACTTTCTTCCTTATACACATGTGGTCCTCTTGTACAGCCGTTACTATCGATCGAGTCTCCACAGCATCTGTACACTCGTCTCCTTTCTCCATTTCTTTGCACGGTCGCCATTCGTAATGGATGATATGTGCATATCTCCATGTCTTCTTTTGTCAGCACGTTCTTTACTATGTATTCCTTTTTGCATCTATCGCAAGTTGCGATGCTTCCTACCGTAGTGATTGCAAATGTCTCCTCGGGCACAACATTGAGTAAATCAGGTAGTGGGTATCCTAATTCCTTGAGTTGCTCTACGCTCGCTATACACTTGTCTATGTTATTCAAAAAGTCATCCATTTCTTTTTCCTTGGCTGCTAGGTCTTTCCATTCACCGTCTATGCCCGTATCTTCAACTCCCGCACACACCGGTCTCTTCTTTAAACGGCCCAAAGTGGTCATCGCGAGCTGTTTGTATCCAGCCAGATTGGCCGTTGTGTTCAATATGTTCTCTTCTTGTCTTGCAGCATGCTCAGTGGCTATTGAAGGTTGTTGGGAAAGAATGGGCGTATAGATACGTTTGAACTCTTGAAACAGTCGGTTCGCTATAGCCTGATCATATTCTGTCAATAATCATCTTTCTCCTTTTTTGTCTTTTTTTCCTTACTTGTCGTGCATTGAGGGGTATCTTTGATTTGATATTAGGTAAAATCATGGGTGGCCCTGTGCCTGTGGTCTATAGATAACATGTGTTGGTATTCAAAAAAAAAAAGGTATAGCTTCTCTTACCGTCTGAGTAGGTTTCTTTGGTATTTGAGTAGTGGTGGTAGTAGTAGTAGTAGATGTTGTTGGTTTACTTATAACAGGTTTTGTTTTATTTATAATGGATGCAGCTGGTGATGAGATTCCTATGAGAAAAAAAAGAGATCAATAGTCCTGTACAGGAAAATGCAATGACTACCTTTAGAAGAAGAGCTTGCAGATCGCGAACTAACCGAAGATAATGGTGTGGCTACCTTTTGCTTTTTTAAAGTTGCCGTTGTATCTGTTGCTGATGACGAACTTGTCTCAGGTTTTGGTCGTTTGATAGTTTGCAATGGACGATCTATACATATTGCACGATTAGGAACACACTCGAAGAAATACTTTTTTTTTAACCTATTCTAGCCCTTTCATGTGAGAAAACGCATGGATCTCTATTGCAATTTGGAAATAGAGGACAAGGTAACGATTTAAAGAGACCCAAGGTAGGAAGCATATTTGGAGAAGAAGAAAAAAAAACACAACAAAAAGATAAAGTCACAAGGGACAATTCTTTTTACACGTAAAGGTTCTCTTTTTTTATTGTATGTGCAGAGGTATAAGTTTATTTTAAAAGTCTCTTAGGATCATGGCAACAGTATCCATTCTTGACTTGGCTACTTCTAATCTTTCTAAAACCTTGTTCATTTGTTCAATTTCCTTCTTTTCTCCTTCGCCCAACAAGTCTGGATTTTCAAGCACATCCTTTCGGTTAATTTTTTCAATTAAACGTTGACGAAGCTTCAATTCTTGTCTCTTGCGTTGTTGAATGTTGCAGATGACGCGATAAGAATCAACAAGAAGCTCTTGGAAGCATTTGTCAAGAGGGACGTACCAAAGATGGAAGCATCGACTAGGAGCACGGTCTGCAGTTCTGGGGACTTCCTGGATCTCGACAAGGCCCTTTGTATTGAGAAGCATGAGTTTTTCTCTTGTATCTGTGGCTGGAAGCATGGCCAACTTTTGAACCTGTGATTCTTCTAGTTTGCCCTTTTCAATTAATATTCTAAAGATGCGACATGTGGCAACACCATAGCGTTCACGAACAATGCCTTCCAAGATACGTTTCCTCATTGTGGTGCGTAATCTTTCAAAGTTGATAGCGTACTGGCTTGCGCCGCGTTCATCCTTTGACTTGACAAAGCCTGCTGTGTCCACTTTGAGCAGTGTGATGTATCCACGGACGATCTCCTGTATGCTTGGCTTTTTGTTGGGTTCTAATGGATCCTTGGGTAGCACGATATCTCCTCGGCTGACTACATCTGACTTGGTTAAAATATTGGCAATATGAACAGGTGTTGCTGAGGCTAGAGTAAACACATGTTTAGCTTTTGTTTTCATATAACATACAAAAAAGTTGTCTTACGAGAATCTTGTTCCTTCAATGACTTCATTCTATCCTTGCCATAGTCAAAGAATGCTTTCACAATCTGACCTGCAGTGCGATTGATACGTTCAGTAGCAAAGTCAATGATGGCATCATTTCTAAACAACATATTGAACCTATCATAATTAATGCTGAAAAACACTTTTTCGTCAATTTCTGGTTGATCTTCTTCAGTTAATCCGTCGCCATAGTGACTGATGGCAGCACGCTAAAAAAATAATTAAACCTTTTTGTTTTTGCAACTTTTTTTTTATTTACCTTTCTTTGATAATCCATTGGATCGACTACTTTACGCTTCATACCAATGATTTCATCTGTGCCATACGCGGCTTCAACCTGAGCCTGTGCTGATGCTTTTGCATTGGCAATGTCTTTTGAAGTCATGATGGTATATTTTTCGGATTCCTTTTCAGTGGCTGCCAACAGACGATCCATGGTGGAACGACTGTGTTCTGGTAAGACACCTGCTATGTACTGATCTATGACGAGTTGCGAGAATGTTTGTGTGTATTTGTCGATTTCTATATAGTTTTAATAACGCGTGTATATAAACTGTGCTTATTGTATACATACGTCCTTTCTTCATATTGTCCTTGACCCATTGAATGACCCCTCGCATAGTCATTCTACCGTTCAAAAACAAGAGTTTACAAATCATTTCAGCTTCTTTGCCATAACGTTCACTGACATCACGAAGGATAGGACCCATCCGTAAACGCATCATGATCTTTTCTGGGTCGATTGTGTAATAGGTCGGTTCTATTTTGCCTTCAGGAGCTTCAGAAAAGTAGACAATGCCGTGTTGGATGAGAACGATGAGACATTCCTTAGTTTGTTTGGTAGATAGTCCTGTGAAACGAATAATATCTGGTAAAGCCAAACGACCTTTCAATAGTAGTTGACGAGATACTTGCTATATACACCAAGTTAATAAAAGACATATATAGCTTAACAAAATATGTATTATTACAGAGACAAAAGGTCCAAAGTCTTCCAATAGTATTTCTTTACATAAACGTGCTTGAAAGGACATGCTATCTATTTACAGTTATTTTTTTTTAAAAAAAAAAGTAAAAGACGCTGGAGGCTTGGACGTTTTCTCTCTATTTGTGTTGCTTTTTTTTCAATACCAGATGATTGTTTTTTTTTTTTTTTCCTCGTTTCCCTGCAAATAAGGTTGTACGGTTGCCTTAGAAACACGCAACAGAATATAAATAAAGAAAAGTAGGAAATTTATTATTACATAAAAAAAAAGGGTGATAAATAGCAATATACAAAAATGAGAAAGGGTATTATTTAATAATTGATACGAGCAAAACCAGGCCTTTCAAGTTTAACCTGTGGCATTGGATGTCGTACTTCATCTGATATGACAAGTGTCTTTAACGTCGTTTTGATCTCTTTAATCTGTATACCTCTATACATCAACTCATCCTTTCCATCATCTATCATGACTGCCTTGGGTGATGATGCAGATGAGCTACGAGGAGAAGACGGTGAAGAGCAACTATCATCATCTGAGCTCTGATTCAAGCTTAAACCCGAATCCAGCGTTGGTGTTGTATTATCCTTTTCTTTCTTTTCCTGCTTTTTCCAAGTAAATAATGAAAATCTGCTGTTACGTCTCTTGTCTTGCTTTGAGAAAGGTTGAAGGATAGAAGCAGATCCTGAGGAAAGAGAAGAAGGTTTTCCATTTGATGAAGATAATTGCACTGCAGCAGCAATCACAGCCGACATGGATTCAATAGTGATATCAATTGATTTTTCGTCATCTTCTTCTGTATCACTATTATTGTTTACTCGTTCATGTTTTTGTTCTATAATTGATGCATTTCCAGAAGAAAGTGATGAATTCGAGTTTGAGTTGCTTTTACGAAACATGAGAAAGAAACAAAGGAAATAAGAAATGTAACTTGTCTGTACCATTTGATGGCACCATTCTAATTCGTGTAACATCGTGCAAATGCACTTTTTTATTGAATATAAGGACGTGTAGGGCTTGGACAGACAATCTCGAGTGATTCAAGGTCATAAATCTGGTTCTTTTCTTGTGGATTAGAAAACATGTTCTATTTGACAACATATTAGTAAGAAAACAAAAAGATATCCTAAAATACTTGCATTCCATAAAAGTATAGCCATCACCTGGTTAGCGCACTTATTTGGATGAAAGCTTTATTAAATAAGTTAATTTAAAATGTGAATACTACACATGTATTCTTTGTTCTTTTCTTTTTTACCAGTCAACTCCACTGAAATAAGATTGTTTGTATTTACCCACTTCGAATTGAGTGAATCCAGGTTGATAACTAATACCAAACCTTTGCTTGTCTTTGTCTTTGTACTCTCCTTCTAGTTTCTGTAATCTTTTGTTATATTCATCAATTAATCTATCAGCCGCTAAATGACGTATTAGAGAGAGTCAAAAAGCATTTAATCTAAATTTACCTAGGCGTTGTTTAGTATCTTGCTGTACACAGGAACAGATGACCATATGAGCAGGATCCCAAATGAGCTCACAATAAGGATCACCTCGAGTAGCTTCATAGACACCCGATACATTAAATAGACCAACAAGGTTAACAAATGATTTACCAACATCTAGTCTGATGCGCTCCAAGACTGATCTCAAATTTCTTTCGAATACATCTACGGCTGACAGATCAGGTAAAGTGGTCATAGGTGGTGTGCATAAGAGACAAATGTTATTGGCACCAATAAAGATTGTGATTAATTTCCATTCGTCACGTATGTCATTGTATTCCTTTTTTTTTAATACTCGAATCAATCTATCTACTTGTTGATCCAAATCCTGACATTTGGCGCCTGTTACCTATATTATTACATTAGCATGCCATGCATTTCCTTTTTTTGTTGTTGATTCTTACTGCATTGTTAAGGTCTTTGCCTCTTGATAGTGGTAGAGTGATCCCTTCAGGCGAACCTTTGAGTTCATCAGCATAGGTTGATAAAAAATTGGGTAAAGTATATTCTCCTGGATCACCACCGACAGAGAATGATTTGCCTCTATATTCTAATATAGTCGAGAATGGAGGTCTTCCTAATATATAAGTGATCAGATGGTGTGTGTGAGAACAATAAGAATATGCTACCTGACATCATGCCAAACCCTGCAGTAATACTATCACCAAGAGCAATGACAGATTTGATATCCTATATACAATATTAGTTATAATAGAAGGGCCGATTTGTTTTACTTTACGTTTGGTCGTAAATGATATGCATCTCGATGAATGATGGAGTCATGCCAAACGAAACGTTCACACTCAAACTTAGGTATCTTGTGTAGACATTGCTCTGTTCTTGATTGATTACCAAACGTATTGTGTAGTTTATCCAGGACAGTAACCCATTCATATGTAAACGGTGTTAACCATCCATAATTGATGTTTGTATCGAGCACAACTTGTTGTTCTATTGAAAATGGAATAAAGAATAATACCAGTAAAAAAACCAAGCAATTCATGATGAAAAAAAAGAACAAGAAAGAGAGAAAGATGATTTGACACGGGTTGACATTTATGCAGAAGCACACAAAGTGACTTTTTTCAATCAAGGGCGCACAAATACGCATACACACACACCACAATTATATGTGGTATTTTATGCAGAGACACATTTTATAAAAAATGTCCATGAAAAAACCCAATGACTTGCCATTGCGTAGAGTGACAAGATCGATGGTGAATAAGAATGTCACAAAGCAAAAGAGTAATCTCAAAGATCTATTAAAGTTGACCAAAGCACAAGAAAGTCTAATGTCAGCATGCTCAGAGAATGATGTATCTACTGGTAATGACGACGCAATATAAACAAATCAAACAATAAAGCGCTAATTATAATACATAAAGTGGTGGCATTACTAGAAAAACACAAACCTTATCTAGATCCAGATCGAATTCGTGACTCTAAATTGAGAACACCTCTTCTCATTGCCAGTGCAAAGGGAAATACAGAGATCGTCAGGGTGCTCATACAATGGGGCGCAGATGTGAATAATCCAATGGGAGATATTGTGGGCAATAGACCACTTCATTTAGCTGTTGCTTCTAATAATGTTGATACCGTGCTTGCTCTATTAGAAGCTGGTAAGGTTAAACATTGCAAAATTCATGATTGTTAATACTGCATAAAGGAGCACAGACAAAACCAGATGAGTCTAGAGTGATCAATTCTGATGATGGACTACCGTCTCTTGTACGAAATCAATTGAGAGCACCATTAGAACTTGCAACATCCCGATTAAACCTGTTGATGAAACAAGCAAATACAAGGAATAGAACTCAATCATTAAGTCAAGTGACTAAAGTAATGAGTTGATATATGTTTTATTATAGCACATTACTAACTACTGTTATCATTATAATTATTATAGATCATACGCCTGTTAAAACATTATTCTACAGGGAAAGAGAGCGATGAATTGGACGAATTGACCAAGAGGATATCAAATATTCAGATTCAACAAGAACAAAATGAGGATGAGGAGATTGAGGTCATGCAGAGTTTAAGAGATGTGATTGAAAAGATAAAGATTTCTTAATAATAAACTTTGCCTTGATGAACAGATATCTTGCCTTCTTTTTTCAAATCCTCCTCAAATTGACGATAATCACTCCTTGTGACATACAGGAACTGATTACCTGACCATAAGCTCAATTCAAATTCTGGATCATGCTTGCACAGTTGAGATAGAATATAGATGATATTCTCAGCTGATAATCCAAAGAATTCAGCCAAGTCATCCAAATGACAGTACTTGTTTTCTTTCACCCAATTCTTGATATTGTCATGGTATCTATTATATTTGGCCTCTCTCTCTCTCGCATTCTTTTCTTCTTCCTTTTGCTTTTTTTGTTCTTCCTTTTCTTCTTGCCTTGCTCTCTTGGCCTTTTCCTTTCTTATTTTCTCCAACTAAATATAATGTAAGTTGTACAAATTACCCTTTTTATATTATTATTACTTCATCTGCTCTCCTAATCGATTCTTCTATTTGCTTCCGTCTGAACTGTTCTTCCAATATCTCTTCTTGTGCTTTTCTTGCTTGGATTTGCTGATCTAGGTACTATATTATTATATTCAGTATCGTCAAGCATATATAATGTATGCATATTACTTCTCTGTACTGTCGTTTTGCCTCTTTGCGCTTTAGTTTTTCTTCCTTTTTCTTTCCTATTTTTTTGACTCGTACTGCCGTAGAGGATCCTTCTACGGTTTCATTATCACTGTCGTCACTTTGTTGTTGCTGTTGCTGTTGTTGCCTTAATTGATGCAGTTGTTCATTTAGTGAATCTACTCTAATTGTTGGTTTTATATTATATTTTATATACAATTGTCCTAACCTCTTGATTCCTGTTGTTTTTTTCTATACAAGTCTATAAGAAATAGAATGGATATAATGCAAATGAATATAGGTAGAAAGACTATCAAAGGCACACTATTATTGTTGTCTTGTGGCATTTAAATATTAAAGGAAAAAAAAAAAAAAAAAAAAGCAAGTTTATTTCGTGTTTAAGAAAATTTCCTTAGCTTGGTGGCACTTTGTCAAACACCCAAAATATCCATGATAATTGTCGAAATGGCCATATTTTTACTGCAGCTATGAGAGCAGTAGAATGCAAATTGCTGTTGTTCTAATCAAAGTTCCCCATGATACCACTCAATGATGACAATTTGTCTTTTGCTGAGTTTACTTCAACTATGTCATGATTTGTATACATGAATAAACACTCTACAGCGTGTTTATTTTTCATTATGAAATCGCATGAATATTGGTACATACAATGCCATTGTGTTGTACAGATAATTGGCATGTGGTTCCGAAAAAGAACATAGATAGGACTGACCATGCTCTTAGGGAGAGAATAAAAGAAAGCCAACTGGTGATGATGTCTGTATTGTTGGGACAAAATATACACAGTATGTTGAAAGTCGAATTGAACCATGGAAAACAAACCCACTTTTGTTCCAAGAGTAAGCACTGATATCTGAACTATTACATTTTTTATAGGCAAACTATTCACACTTGGGGCTTTTAAAAATTTTATGAGCATAAAAGTTCTCTTTCCTTCTCTCCCTTTCTCTCTTTCTCTTTCTCTCTTTTTTTCTTTCTGTCTTTTTCGTAAAAAATGAAGAAAAAGTATAAAACCAAGTTTCCAGTGGTAATAATGATTATGAAGAAGTAAATCAATATTTATATTCATACAAAATGCTAGGCAAGAATCAAAAAGATTATGCAATTAGATGAAGATGTTGGAAAAGTGGCTCAAGCAACACCCATTTTGATCTGTAATGATTTTAAGCTTCTATTATTTTATCTTTCACTCATCATTATAATTAGCAAAAGCATTAGAATTATTCATGCAGTCATTAATCGATCAAGCATGTCAAGAATCACGTTCAAGACAGGCAAAACGTCTAACAGTAGCTCATTTGTAAGTTGTTAAGGATGAATAGTTTCATATAGTAATGTAATGTTAGGAAAAAGGCAATTGAAAACGTAGAACAATTTGACTTTTTAAAGGATATTGTTGCAAATATTCCAGACCCTTTAGAACCTAGCGAAGAAAATGGAGGTCAGAAGACTAGATCGAGTCGAAAGAGTGCAGCGAGAAACGTAAAAGAGGAATAAATACAACAAATGCATGTGTGTAATAAATGTAGATCATAAATTCATTTTCGGGATATTGAATAATCAATTGTATGTGTGTAAAAATATTCTGTGGGTGAACAAGATAAAAAGAAAGGGTTACAAAGACAAGAAAAAAAAAAGAGGGTGCACATTCTCATAAGGAGGTGTTGATCATCAAAATAGCGCCATTTAGGTAACCAAAGGTGTCAACAGGGTTCAAATTGTATGTTTCCTGTTTGTTTCTTTATTAAATATATTCATTTCTTTTATCTTTTCTAATGGCCACAGAACAGACACCTCTTATTGCTATCTATGGAGGACCTAGAGGATGGGATAAATATGCTCATGGTAGCATCATCTTTGGCCTTGCCTTATTTATTGCTCTGATCGGTTCAGTACTTGTTAGAATCCCGTTTAACGTATTCACATTTCATCCCATCTTTATGACACTCTTCATTGTCCTCTTAACTGAAGGCATTGCTCTTTTGCAGCCAACGAGTACATCTGAAGAAAAGAGAAAAGGACTTTATTATCATGCTCTGATACAATCTACAAGTTATCTCTCAGCTATCATTGGATTCTCTTTTATATTTTACAACAAGGTCATATCAAACAAGTCTCACTTTGAATCGTAAGTTGAGAATAATCCATATTTGCCCCTTATTGACTAGTATTACTACCATTATTATTGTAGTTTGCATGGTAAATTAGGTTTATTCGTATTCGTTTATTTATTTATCCAGCTATTGTTTGGTATCACTATCACATTAACACCAACCTTATATGGTTCGATTGATAAGGCCAAAAGCCTATGGAAGTATCATCGTATATTGGGTTATGCTCTCTTGTTACTCGTGTGGTTTACCTCTCAGCTAGGTGTTAGAGCAGATTATATGTATAACAATTTATACGATATCAAGCTCATCTATCTGCATTGGTTATCTCTTACTTTTGTCGTGGCCGGCCTTGTTTACAGGACAAGAACCAGAAAATGGGGAGTGAAGTTTAATCAATAGAAACTTTGGAACTTTGTATGCTTTCTATGGCCAGCTTTTATTAGTAAAATATCTTTTCTTTTCTACATCAAATTACCTTTAAAATATAAAGTGATCAAGAGCTCTATTAGCGGCATAAGGTGGAAGTCGCAGTACATCCCACGTCTGAAAGAACTTGGATCTAAAGCTCACAATATGGTGTCTTGTACATTTTTTTTTTCCTGAAGTTCATTCATGAGCTTGAAGATGATCCTGAGTTTTCTTTAGAAGGCTTTATCAACAATGCATTTTTTAAAGAAGCTTTCTTATTCCTTTTAACTAATTACAAGCCGAAAAAGAAAGGGTCAACATCACATGCACCAGAAAATAGGCTAAATAATGTAAATACGAATCCATTACCATTACACGCGATTGATCGAACTGGCAACATAAAATTAGAACAAAGCAATAAAAACATTTCTTCTTATCTTTTTCTTCTTCTTGAAAAGAAAAACCAAGATGGGGGATCTATAAACTCATGTTTAGTGTGGCGCCATACATTGGAAAGTTTTGTTGGACGTCATCATAGATAGCAAGTAATGGTTTATTAAGGTAAAAAGGATTTTAGCAGGCAAGTACAATATTGACAGTGAAAACTAATTGTATATTTTACATAACATCTCTTTAGGTGCACAAACCAAAAGTGCTTAAAAGATATGACCGACACTACCGCTGGTGCTGCTTCTGAAGATCGTGTTTGGAATAGAAATGTAGCTGCTGTCCTAAACTTTTGGCATATTCTTTACGGCTTGCGTGAAAATCAAAAAAGACCAGAACGATTTTTGCGCTCAAACAATACGGCTCGTTTGGCAGGTTCGAAGTGAAAAGGCACTTCCTTGAATGACAGTAATCGGCCTCCCAAAAAAAAAGTAATTTTCCTGTACAATTAACGCTATATAAACCCAAGATGCGGGGTAAGCGATTAATGTCTAAACCAAAAAATCGTAGGTTAAAAGCCTGTACGACAAGAACACGAAAATGGAAGGCAGACCATTTTAATCGGAAATTGAAATAAACATTATCCCCTTCTTTTTACAACAACCCATTTTGCCCATCATTCATCATTTCATCTTTTTGACGTTTCTGTTCTGGAAGTTATTCATAGTCTGTGTCAAGTCATTCTTTGGATACCGAAAGGTGTCAAAAAAGGAAAGAAATACGACTATTCAACTTTTATGGAATAAGCATAAATATCAGTTAAACTTTAGAGAATTTCAACATGGTTTTGATGAAGCAACTGTGAGAGATCTAAAAAAAAAGTGTAAGCAAGTGACAAATGTGCCTATTGCTTCCATGAAGTTACAAGTGTCTGGAGGTAATAAACATTCATGGTTTTAAAAAAAAGACTCAACTGTTTTGACAGCCAACATCAAGGATGACACAGCGACATTGACAAGTGTGGGTATTTGCCGTAACTCTACGATTGTACTCAACGGAGAGCAAGTGGATGTAAATATATAGATGTATATATATTTATATTTGTGTTGATATATCTATGTGATATAGGAAACAGAAGTAAAACAGGTCGTCTCTGGTAATCCAGAAGAGTATGCGCTTGTTCAAAGGATCTCAAAGATTGTGGACACAATAACTGCAGAAACAGAAAGAGAAATAACTGAATTTGAGCAATTAGCACAAGTAAAAGAACTGTCAGACGATGAAAAGAAAAAATTGCAGGACAAAGGAATCTACCTGTCAGAAAAGATGATGCAGTGTCTCATCAGTTTAGATGCAGTTGAATGTCCCATGGGCTTTGAAACTGCTCGACAACGTAGAAGAGAAGGCGTACGATATTCCCAAAAGTTATTGGGCCGTGTAGATAAAGCCAAAGCTGTGATGAATACAAATAAATAGAATAAAAAAAATTTCACTACTTTTCTTTTCTTCTTTTTTATAAATACATGCTCCTTTTCAAAGGCTATGTTTTTGTAAAAGGCTTTGTTAGAAACTATTCAACCACAAACACTTTAGCAACACTAAGACATTATCAAAAGGAATGCATTGAAACATGTTTGAAAGAGTTGAAGGAAGGTTGCTATAGACAAGTGGTTTCTTTGCCTGTGGGTAAGTATTGACTCAACCACATACACACAAAGCATATTTATTAATGCCATTAAAAAGGAAGTGGAAAGACGGTAAGGACTATATCAATATTATATCCAATCAAGATATTATGGCTAATTATCCATCAAAAAGGTAATCATGTCTAATTTGATTCCACGTATCCCTTGTCCGACAGACAAGGCCAACAAGGTACTATTGTTAGCTCATAGACAGGAGCTATTAAATCAAGCTTATAATCAGATCAAACGATATAATCCAAATTTGGTATATAATACTTTTTCTCTCTCTCTTTTCCCTTTCTTTCTAACACAATATAGACAGTCGAGATAGACCAAGGCAAACGAGTGGCCAACTATGAAAGTGCCGATGTCATTATTGCCTCTGTACCTACCCTAGGTCGATCAAAATCGAATCGTATCGACAACTTGGATCCCAGTCAGTTCAAGGCCGTCCTGATCGACGAAGCACATCATGCCGTCGCTGATAGCTACCAAAATATCATCCACCACTTTAGCGAGTCCAGCAATAAGGTTCTCATCTGGGGATGCTCAGCCACGGTGCGGCGTCATGACGGACTCAGTCTAGCAGACGTGTTTGAAAAGATGACGTACCATATGGACTTTTTGGACCTTGTTGAACAAGGCTATCTTTGCCCAATGAAAGTGACAACTGTTCAGACCAGCATTGATCTCTCAGACGTACGCCACTATGGAGGTGATTTTGTGATCAGTCAACTCTCTAACGCAGTTAATATCCGTGCACGAAACGATGTGGTCATCTCGAGCTGGAAAAACTATGCAGCAGGAAGACAGTCGACTCTGGTCTTTGCAGTGGATATCCAGCATACTCAAGACCTGTGCAATGCATTCAGGCAACAAGGGATCGAGGCTAACTTTATCACGAGCAAGACACCAGAGATGACAAGACAGCAAATCATACAGGATTTTAGAGATAGAAAGTTACCTGTCTTGATCAACTGCGGTATGAAAAAATAAGATTCGAAAAACAAAAGGGGAAATTAATATTCGCTCTTGTGTCTTTAGCGATTTTGACAGAAGGAACGGATATGCCATCTGTGGATTGCATTTTGATGGCTAGACCTACACGTTCAGCTACACTGTTTCAGCAAATGTTTGGAAGAGGCTTGAGATTACACAAAGGAAAGAAGGACTGCTTGGTCATTGATTTTGCAGATAATTTTGAAAGAGGTGGAACAGCAGGAATAGTGACCATACCCACCTTATTAGGGTTAAGTTCAAAGAAGGAATTGACAAGTAAGTTGGGGGGGAGGATGGTACTTGCCCTCTCATCAAGCTAATGTATTGTGCAATAACAGATGTAGATATCTTGGATTTAGAAAAGCAAGCAGAGAAAGAAGAACAGGAGATAGAGGAGCAAGAGAAAGAAGTACGAGCAGACGATAAGATAACAAAGAGAAAAGATGGCCAAGAAGGTAAGATGATAAGATAGGGGGGAAAGCCCGTAACTTATTTCTCTCATTTCCCAGAAAATCTTCCACAAGCGGATGATGGTATTGATTCTGATGATTCGAAAATTCAAATTAAAGTTACCGAATACGGCGAGATAAAAGAGTTGATGGCAGACATATCCCCAAGAAAGAATGTCAGGACTGCTTCAAGAAACGCCTGGGTAGAAATTGGTGATGATAAATGTGTGCTACTGGTCTTGACACGAGGAAGCCTTATCCTCGAACGTGAAGAGTCATCGAATCTCTGGCACGGATTCTTCAAGTATAGCAGAAGAGATACCTTTGCCAAAAGATACTCAATACCCATCACATCGGATACCTTGACAGATGCTATCCGTGCTGCTGATACCTGGCTGCGCAAGAAATTCCCAGACTCGTATATCCACAACCTCATAGATCGAAACGCCAGGTTCCGATTCGCTCCCTGTACAGAAGCTCAAAAAGATGTATTAGACGGATATAACATCAAACCGAAACCAAAGCTAACAAAAGGACAAGCGATGGATCTCATCACAAAGGTCAAGTATGGACAGTTGAAGTTGTGGAAAGAGAAACATAAAAAGTCGAAAAAGGAGTTTGAGGAGAGGCAGAAGTTCGCGTTATTAAGAAGAAAGCCTGTAGCAAAGATATAATAAACAAACACGACCTGCATTTTTTTAATTATTGAAAACAAGGCCAAAAGAAGCATAAATAAGCAATATTACTGCATAATCTGCAAATCATTGTTATTTTCTGATCTGACTCAATGTAGAGAAAAAGAGTAAAAAAAAAATATGTAAATGATCTACTTGAGTAGAATTTACTTAGATTTTATTTACACATGCATAGACTGTTTTTTCTTTCTTTCTTTCTTGGTCTGTATTTACAAATAATCCGTGTAATAAACAAGGTCAAATGAGCACTGTCTAGCCAAAATTGATACTGCGTTCCTGATCTGCACTTCCAAATTGACAAAATGTTATGTGCATATCTTGCCCAACGAGGAGAGCAATGGGAATTGAATGTTTGAGAGATCAACAAGGTAGTAAATAACATGAGTTTTGTTTTGATGGAGTTGGAGAGATAACGTACGGATGATGATGATGATGATGATGGTTTTTTAGTTAGAGTATAAAGTGCATATTGAATAAAAGAAGATAAATGTGAGCTATAATAGTGGTGATGATAGTGATGATGGTTATGAATGACTGTGATTGTCGAACTGTGATCATTTTCTAAATCTTGAATTGCTTGCATAATTTGATTGATAGAAGTATCTATTTGACGTTGATTTTCAATATACTTTAATGATGATATACACGGTCGTTTCTTTTGTTTCTTCTTCTTTTGTATTCTTTTACGAGGCTTTATGTATAAAGCTGCCTCTGCTTCTTTTGTCAGTTGCTCTATTAATTGATTCATTTCTACAAGTCTATGACTGATATCGTATTCTTCCCTACATAAAGAATTACTAAATGGGAATTGTTTACGCTTCTGTCGTATTACGTGCTACGTGCAGTTAATTCCTCTAATTGCTTCAAATAGTAACTGTTCTTCCACTGGAGGCTAATGATTAAAATGTTATTATGCATAAACATATCATCGAGTATCAGCCTACACGTCGCATTGAAGTTGAACTAATTTGATCATTTTTTGTGCTTCATACATGGACTGATGTATCTATAAGAAATGAGTGATTGACACAACCAAGATACACAACAATAGCTTACATTCATATTCCATTGACCCATTTCCTTCTCTGCCATGACAGCAGAATAGGAGGGTGGAAGATAATCCAACGGCTCATAATTTGACATACATGTAAAGCTTACGAGAAAGAAAAAAAAAAATAAAGAAAAAGTCTCGGTTTACTAATAAATATTGATGTGTAACCTTTTTGATTTAAATGGTATATTCAACACGTTGAAGACCTATTCTACATATGATAATCAGAAATACCAAAAAGAGGGGCGCAACGTAATATGACTTACACTCTAGGAAATTCAACAAAGAGATGTGAAAAAAAAAGAAAAAAGAAAAAAGGAAAAAGGACGCAATGGATTATTGAAATTGCCGTGTAACCTCAGCTTTTTCAGGAACCAAAAATATCCTGATGTTATATATGTGTTTATACATACACGGTCATTCCAAAAGAACATAAATAAATAAAAAAGTGCCTAGCCAGTGCACACACAAGGGAGACAAACCCCAAAGATCCTAAATACGCTGTAGGTCAGATTCATTATGGAAACAAGGTAAACGAGCTTGTCCTAAGAAGAGAGAAAAAAAAAGAAGGAATAGTATGTTTACAAGATTAAAGAAAACATCTAGTAGATTTATCTTGTGTTTAGCCGAAACAAAAGCCGAATAAGGAGTGAGGGATTGATTTGAGAAAAAGAGAGGGAATATGTTGAAGAGTATGTTTTATATGGCCATTTCAGCGCCGTTGCAACAGTGTGAGAACCTGTTGCACACGGGGAGCTTATTTAAACATAAGATTAAGGGTCTTCATAACACGTGGGCTGCGGTTGCGGGAATATTACACGGAACCATGTTGTTGTGGAAATACACGACTATTTGCCGCAAAGACACTATAGTTTGTCAGATAGATCATTGTAAACATCTGTGGAAGCAGCGATTGCGGAAGCTAGAAATCATCGGTTGGCATAGTTTGAGTAACATGTACATCACTATACGCTCGGCTTCAAAAGATTTTTATATAGTGATTGTCAGTGATTTATTTTATTCATAATATCGTAGTCGAGCGATGAGCGCCAAGGGTACCGAAAATAGAAAAGTTATCGAGCAAGGCCTTTCATAAGTCGGAAAATGTCTATCGTCTGCTCATAATAGACGCTCGGAACACATGGCCCCTTCGGCATTCCCCCTTCGGATTCGCCACTATGGGTACATCGGATGCATTCGTTTTGGAACTTGTATAATAGTTGAATACTATTGTGCTCCAAGCGCCATAGCGATGAGAACGCATCCCATGGTATGAAAGGTAAGTGCGGCAAGAAGGTATATGGCTTTCTCTTCCGGCATTTTAGTGTCGGAGCTGTATACAGGAAATAGAATTGTTACCAAAACACACAGATTAAATTAGCATAAAAAGATAGACCAACTTTTAAATTCATAGCTGATCAGGAAACATAATCATCCGATTTATTGCTCTTCATCAGGCTCAAAGATAAGACGATAGTTTTCCAGCACAGTCTGGACAATGACAATATGATTTTCATCACCTCCCATCAGTGACATACCCAAGATGGTAGCTATATTGCTCGTAGTCATCTTATTATACTCTTGATACTGTTGAACCCTATATATAAAAAAGTCAATCCTATCCCCTTGTTTTTGTTATTGAGCTTACTTGTCTAAATGTCGCATAATGTATTTTAATGTCGCATAATGTGCGTCTGGTAAATCATTAATGATTGTATGTAATCCCAACACTCGCATACGTTCATTCTCAATTTCTGTATAAATACAAAATGTCAATTCGGTGATAAATAAATAAAACGTGTAACACCCTACTTGCAGCATTCATAAAATGTTGATAAGATGACCTTGGGAATACTGGATCTGGTAATTCCCTAAACCACAGCTTCAGTAAGCTGGTTATATTATTTATATCATTTCTATTCTCTTCCGAAGACAAATCCACCTCTTCACAATCTATCATATAGTTAGCTTTGTTCCAAGCACATCCGTATATACACAACATACTGAAATCAAACTCATTTTTGAGACGTTGAATATGCGTGTTTGTACCAGACAATCGATACAATCCAACGCTTTTTAAACCGTACTCTTCTATTGCTTCTACACATTTAGTCACTATAAGTGGGATTTCTCTCTTGTCTCTTTCCATCAGCTTGATCAGTGATACTCCAAAGACAGGATTTGGTTTTAGTATATTCATTGCCAGAGGAGACTATCGCATACTGTTACTCTTTCCATTCTTTTGCTTGCTATATTATTTCTTCATACTTTACCATAACATACTCTTTATATTGAATATCCTCCTTGTTTAACGGTTGTGCCTTTCTACTAAACTCTTTGACTAGTTCCTCAGTATCAACACTATGATCAATCTTTTCTGTCAGCGATCTTAGTCCGTTTCCTTCATCGTTGTCTAAAGCCAATCCATCCAAGACGAGAGCTTCCTCATATATGTAGGCATAACGTGCTAGTTGATAACGAATAGCAGTACAGCATTCATCATCCAAGCCTTTGAGAGCAAGGATGTTGGAAGGAAGCTGAGACTGAAAGAATTCTTGGCGAGTTGCATTCGTCGACTGTAATTGATTTTTATAGACTGTGTATGCTTGATTTGCTTTTGCACAAGATTCATCTTCTTGTTTTTTTAACTACCAAGACATACGCATGCCGCAAACATGAGTTGACTTATTATACAGCAAATGAGTCATATTCACGCATACCTGTGCAGGAGTCTTATTGTTTTTGAATAGCCCTGTCTTTTTTGGGTTATGATCTGTCTCATTCTGGTTTCTGTTCAAGATTGCCTTTTCCCAATCCTCACTCAATTGCTCATACTTTTGCTTACTCTGTCAATATCATTAGTCTTCAACTCTCCCTCTCCCTCTCTATTTATACTTTACTTTTTCAAGGGTAATCTCTGCATCGACCCTATTCTTTTCATGGCGTAACCCTAGTTCTTTGATCTGTTTTCTGCCCTTTTCAGTATCCTTACACATAATCTGCACATCGTCTGCCACTTCTACAATATCACTTGCAAACTTCATTCGTTGTTCTCCAATCTTTTCATGCACTTTAAGAAACGATAACCATGATGTTCCAAAAGATCTAGGAGATACAATCAGCATATATATATACATATAATTTATTTATATACCTTAAGTTGAGATGTCCTTTATCAAATGATTCTGACATGGACTGAGCAAGTTTTATCATTTGTTTTCCATACTCTTCTTCAATAGCTGCTCTCTTTTTCAAAAATAAAGTGACATCCTTTGCTGCCTGTGTGTCACTTTTCACTTTGTCTAATAGACACTGAAATCCTCCCTTTAACAAAAATAAGTTTGAATACATAATAGAATGGACGGTTCGACAGGTTTCCTATTTTACTTCAAGATTGGTCAAGGTTGAAATAACAGTCTCTCCATCTTTATTGTTGTCTAATATTCTCTCTTGAGACCCATTTGCTGCAAGCATAATTGAGGATTTTATTAAAAGAGTGAGAGAGAGAGAGAGAGAAAAGGGGAGAAGAAGGAGGGGGAAATTATTAAAACTAATGCAACACTACACGTGTTTTATGTAACCTTAATTTACACAGATCAAATTTGCCCTTATTCCACCACTTTTGCCTTAGCTCTCTCTCTCTCTCTCTCTCTCTCTCTCTCCACTTTGCTTTACTTTTTATGTCAATTCTTTTTAATAGATGATGATGTCTATATTACAAAGCAACTATCCTCTTCTAGTTGTAAATGAACTTTTTTGCTATATCCTCAAAGGACTTTATTTTGTTCACTTTTTACTTTAAATTAACGTGATTTAAAATGTAAAGATGATACGTGTATTTTAACAATCAAATAGAGAAGAAGGTAGCTTAGGATTCAGTGCGCTTTAAGTGTCCATTAGTTAAATGATGCATGAATGGAAAATGTTGTAAGATGACCAAAGATAAATTATAGAGCAAAATCATAACTGACTTTGAGGCACAATAAAAAGAAATAGATAATCCTGTCTGTATGAAGTCAGTAAAGGCAAACTATGTTTACTATAATGCTTAAAAAAACCTACGATTTCATTTTATAGCAATTGACATAATGTTCATTTCCCGCTGCCAAAGTGTACCACATACTTTGCACAACTTTATGTCAAAATTCTAACTATTAAAATGGGAGCTTTCTGGTATATGCTTGGCGGATGTAAAATGTAGAATTAGACAAAGGCGATTTCTTTATAGACGAAGAGACTATTGTTGTGGACGCTTGAGATAGGATTTTATATGAGGTTAATATGGCTATTGAAACTACCAATTGATATTTTTTGGTGTTTAGTATAGAGAATCATTGCATTTTACATCCATTTGCTAACAAAAAAAAAGGACCATTTGTCAGAAAGAAGGCCTGATAGCCTGGACCAAGACTTTATCCAATCACCTGACCTTTTTTTCATAGTTTATAAAAGGATATATGGCTTATCGAATTTTCTAATCGTTTGATTTTAAGTTTAAATCAGTTCCTTGAACAGATATCACTGCGTCAGCCAATAAGAGCCAGTCTTCATTCTGTTCTTGATCCATTGAACGTTTCCACTTGTTCAAAGTTTTTGCCTATTTTTAAATTAAAAGACGATGAGTGGTTCACGCGGGAATTGAAAACATAAAAATTGCGTCATATGTAGGAGTTGGCTTTTGATACACATACACACACAGACACACACACGCACACACTCGCACGCACATATACACACTCTCTCTTTCTTCCCCTTTCGCCCACGTACACACACACAACTTTACATATACCAAGAGATTTTTTTCCTTTTTCTTTTTTTATTTTCTATTTGACAACCATGAATCCAGCTCAAGCCAATAAAATTGATATTAGTGTAAGATTGTTCTTTACACACATTAACCATGTACTTACTGTTTTTGTAGAAATTAAGCGAAGAAGAAAGGAAGCTATTTCGCATGTATGGCAAACTTCCTGATCGTAAAGATCTCTTGGGTCATAAATTAAGAGTAACAAAAAAAAATAGGAGTCATCTTATTTCTTCATACTTACACGCGCGTAATATATATAGGAACGCAAATACTTTGATTCTGGTGATTATGAACTGACTAAAGCTGGTAAAGAGTCCATCACAACAATAGGCTCTGAACACCCTTCTCCTGATACCATTCCTCACTCCAACCCTTCATCTCAACCTGGCGCAAGTCCCGCAAAAGAAAGTCCTTTAGCTGAAACAGGCACTGACGAAAAAACAAAAGAGGAATAAAAAAAACCATGTTTATACCAATAAAACCTTTTTTATTTTAAATGAACTGACCTGCCCAGTGCTCTACAGGAAAACGAAAAGGCAATTGGCCAAAGTTTACTTGGACCAGGCCTGGTCCGTCTATGCCAACGGATGGGAAATAGTAGTGTCTGGTTAGGTTCCAAAAGGCAGTATCAATCATTTGACCATTCTTTGTAAAGTAAACTTGTCCTGATTCTGGACAGTATCCACAACCAACAGTATCACCTCGTCCCCAGCTTGGTCCAAACGCTTGTCCACCTGTTGCGTCGTCACAAAACTTGTGCCCATCGTCGCTATGGTAGCCGACAGAAAACTTGTTCCAGCCTGGCATGCGGAAGATAGGGTAGGGCCGTGTGGTCAGACCGATGGCAACAACCGCATCTTTACTTACATCCTCGACAGTGATTTCAAAATAATGTTGTGTTTGTTGTCTGTATTCTGATCCGTATTCCTCCAGCGTCAAAAACGGGTGAGATCCCTGTGCGGTCACATCATGGTCCGGGATGACCTGTCTCAGTTGTGGCCAAAATCGAATCCTGTGTTGATTATCTGTGATAAACGCCTGTCCTTGTGGGTGGCGATAGAGTGCATTTGTCTGTGGTTCATTATCGATATGCATCACTCGTAGAAAACCATGTTGACGGACTTGGTTGGCTTTATCTGTGGGAAAACAATCTATTTGAGATGAAAAGGCCTGGATGAACATTTCACCTCGTTCATACGAGTCGATCGTCGCGTCCTTGTATTTTCCGTATTGATAGACAGGGTTATCGTTTGTTTGTATAGCATGGTCATAGCTCGGTGGTTCTTCTTCAAAATCTTTATTGTTGGACATTATTTATAAAAAGCAAAGGAAAAGAAAAAATGCTGAGCTCTTTTTTTTTTCTTATTCTTTAAGAGAGAGAAACAGCAAGTGAAAGAGAGAGAAAGAGGAGAGCTAAAGTCACAACATAAAAAATAATTTATTAATATAAAATGACTATATGTGATTACGCATGTTTAGGTGTATATTATATATGTAGAGTGAATATATGTTATATGTTAGCTTAGGTGAGTAGTAGAAGAAGATGATGGAGGTAGAGGTGGTGGAGGATGTTCAGCAATGGCACTTTTTTGAATATCTGCTAAGCTTTTGACACGAGTGAACCGACCAGCATGTTTCACAGAGGTACCATCTTCTTCCAGCTGCCTTTGCAGTAATGCCTCACCTAATCTTCTTCTTTTCAGTTCTTCCTCTTCTTCGTCCACTGGCATGTTGGCTCTAAATGGGTCATATGTCTCATTATTATAGGTTGTCGGACGAGATGCGATGCTGGACTCTGCCATGGGAACGCTGTCTGTTGAACGATAGCCCATGATAGGAGCCTGAGAATTCATTGATGTTGTGTCAAGGAGGAGCTTTTCATTGTTAACTTTGGCAGCATTGAGGCCTGCCTCGTTTCCATGGTTATTGTTGTTATTATTGTTACTGGTGTCAGTAGCTGTGATAATAGGTAGGAGTTTATTGTTCTTTTTGCTTTTACGTGAAATAATAGTTGTCCAAATAAGCGCTGCTGCACCGCAGATGAGAGCAATGACAGCAATAACAATCACAGCAATGGCCCATCCCGGTAATGGATTGGAGGATGAGCCTGCACTACCGTTTAAATTGCTGTCGTTACTGCTACTGTTTGAGCCATTGGATGGTGAAGTTGAATTCTTTGGCTTGTTGCTATTACTAATGTTGGGCGATGCTATTTCTGCAAAAAGAAAAAAAAAAAAGATAAGAAACATCAAAGGTAAACTTGCATCAAACTTTACGAGTTACGGTAAAGTTAAATGGTCGAGGAAATTGGCTGCTTGGATCTGATAGTTCTACGGTCACATTAGCTGTAGAAGGTAAATAAAATCCATACATGGTAATGTTTTGGTTTGTTGGCGATGGTTTCAGGAACCAAGAATCATCTACTGTGACTTGAATGCCTCCTGCTAATGTATTGAGGTTGGAGTAGTTTTTGACGCTGACATATGCATAATTAATTATATTATATAGATAAAGATTCAAAGAGTCCTAAATAAATCTAATCAGACATTTTCCCCCTGTGTAAATAAAGAATATTTTACTGCATTAACATAGAATGGATTACTAAACAACAAAAAAGCAAGAAAGAAAGAAAAGAAAAAAAGGGTTAGTAAAGGGGGCACTACACACATATACACATATACATAATGTATTTTTACTTGTATTTCCAAATAAAATAGTGAGTGGATCCATTTACCCAAACATCAGATGGTCCTGGTAAGCAAGCAGATATTTCATTAGGTCTTTTTGAACATGCTTCAACTAGACTCGTGAAATCTTGACTGCTGTCAGTTTCTTCCATTTTTTTTATTTAAGAAAAAGAAGAAGAGAGAAAGAGAGAAGAGTAGGTTTAAAAATAGAAAAAGATGTGGTGTTTGAATATAAATGCTTTTGTGACCAGCAATAAAAATAAATAAATTAGAAAGAAAAAGAGATTGAGAGAAAAGGAAGGCTCTCTCTTTTTTGTATTCAAGGAGAAATAAATTAAAGGGAAATGATTTGTTAACACTTTATAAATCTTAATCTTCCCCCGGTTAAATGTAATAGTAAAATGATGCTTGTGCTGTATGACAGAATACGGGAAAAAAAAAAGTAGCTGTGGAAATATCTTAAAACTCCACTCGTGATATATGTATATATTATTTATCCTCTTCCTTTTATACAATTATATCAATATATACTTTAATTGGTCTGTCTCTAATGAACGTGATCTCTCAGTAAGTAATCTAAAGGCATAATAAGATCAATAGGATTATTTGTGATATAATGAAAAATAGCTGAGTTTCTAAATCAAATTGTACCTTTAAAAGTTTGGAATCGTGGCTTTTTAATATCAGCGGCTGAATAATTGACAAGCATTTTCATACTAGAAAAAGTAACCACTGGTCACTTCTTTTTCATCAAATGTTGTGTTTATATTGAACCCAAAACTGGATCTCATCCGTCTTCAAACTCTTCCCTCTACCAGATTTTAGTTTTAAGCAAACAGACCTACATAAAAAATGTCATGTTTAAGGAACCAATTTGCCATGGGTCGCATATGTAAAAAGCTATCTATGATCAAGAAAAATGTTCATCAAAGCGTACTGAATCTACTTTTTTATATACTTCAGGTCCCTTTCTCAACATGATGTAATGCCTTCAAGCACCGAAACGCTCATTGTACCATTAGCTTTGGGCCTGATAATGCGTGAAGGATATATCACTATATGATTTAAAAGAGCTAGCTTGACTGTTGGCATGAACTCTTTGATAAAAATCGATGTTTTTTATTGACACCATTGACAAAGTAGCTAATCCTGATAGACATGAAAATATAGGCAATTGACCTCCACCTCAACGTCATCGGAGAATCCGAGTGCCAACAATGTTGAATTGTTGACAACAAACAATCTTTTTTGCCATCGGAAGATTTCCTTTCGTAAACATCTTCTAGAATGAATAACATTCATCCACTAAATTCTTGAACGGATTATGGAAAGCTAAGTTGTGTCAGACTATGAACGCATTTTAGAGACAAACAGCCCAAATCGCGGACAAGTACAGGTTATTACACAATCATGTCTTTCAGTATTCGTGATATTTTAAATGCATCATCATAATGATTTCTTTGTGTCATTGAAAACATTAGACATGCTAGATTCGACGCAACCGAGGCCTCGTCAGGTTTGGTTTAAATATCTATCAAATCCTTATAAAATGGCTCTTTCTTATAGCTTGTTAGTTATCAGCCTGCTGTTTCTTTTGGATCAACAAGCAGAATGTATTTATATCAATATATGACTTATCATGGATTATATTCTTGTCTCCTGTAAAAGTTGATGGCTTTAATGCTTCACAAGTTCAAGAATGCAAATGATAAGGATACAATTGAGCTTAACCGATTGGTGGTTTATTCCATCGCTGCCGAGGCTCAAAAATAGATGCGTCGGAACATATAAGAAAGTCAATCGAGTTTGTACAAGAAAGAGCTATGATCAGTCTTGGCAAAAATGAGCACTAATAATGCAGATAGCCGCAAATTGTTTTTGTAAATTCAAAAAACAAACACAATACTACGTTATAACCAGTACAGCCTAGTACTATTGATTTATGACTAAAAAAGATTACGCAAGATGCAGATATTGATAGAGGTACCTTTTGGTACATTCACTCAGATCATGCTGCAAGCACGAAAGCGAGCCATTAAGAAGATTCCATACAGTAAATAAAGCTTCATGTTGAATGCCAGAGATTATAAATTGCTGTGTTTTGTTTACAGGCGTCTCAACTAGTAAGTTATTCATATAGCTTATTTGTATCAATAAGGAGTACTTGTTAAACTTCAACCCACTTCATTTTTAAAATGCGACAACTTAATCTGGAATAACTGCAAAGCAGCTGTGAACGTGGCTTCATGTCATTCTTGTGTGTGTCTCTATCAGATCCCTGTATAGTCACACAGTGTATCACGATTTTCTCTTTCTTCCCTTTTCTTTTTATATCCTTTGCTTCTGTATATGGCTACTTTATCTTTTTTGCAGCCTTTTTTCTCCAAAAGTTATATGAACCCTTTACACATACTCGTAACCTTGGCTCCCCTTTTTTTCCTGTCTTGATCTTTTAAAGGCCGCGTCAGCCCGTGTTACATTTGATACTCTAGAAGCCATGTTCATCCTGAGGTCTTTGTTTCCCCCC